AACTGAATGTTTAGAATAGAGGGTATGGAAAAGATTCTTTTCCTGAAACCAGAACAGTACCCCTACACAATCACTCTTATCTGGTGCTTCCTCTGACTGAACTCTCCTCTTTCTTCTTCCTGTCACTGTCCTCCCTTCCTTCCCATCCTTTATCTACCCTCCTCTTTACATCCCTTCCCCATACTCTTTTCTCCTCTTTCTCTCTTCTTATTCCTTCCCTCTAACTCTTTCTAATCTCTTTTTTTTAATTCTTGTCTCTCTCCTCCCTTAATTCAATCCAACAACTTTTATTAAATGCCTATTTCATGTCAGACACTATACTGGGCTCTGGGGTTAAAAAAAGAAAAAGTCCTTGACCTCAAGGCATTTATTTTGTAACTGGGGTCAATGAATGTTACCTGTACATAGGTAAGAAAATTAGGACTATGAAAAGGGAGAGAAGGCATCGACAACTAGGTAGATACTGAAAAGTTTACCAAGGTACAGTTTTCCAAATTCTGGAGGTTCTAAAAAGAAAGGCTCTTGTCTTTCAGGGGGTAGGCAAAACTATGGCTAAACTTGTAAAGTATTTTCTAATACAATTTCTGAATAAATAATTCACTTTTTTCCCAACAAAAACAAAGTTCAGAGTCAGCAAGAGTTATTTTTTAAGATGTAGGTATAAAAGTTTAAAGGATTTTGTCAATAAATATCTGAACATTCCATTGCTTTATTGTAAGTCTAAGGTTTGTGTGCTGTTATAAAAATTGTGGTAATGAATAACTTTATTTCAATAAAGTAGAGCTAAGAAAATTCAATTTATAAAAAGTATTGGGAGAATAACACAACATTCTTGGGTTTTTTCCACAAACCACATAAGTTTTGAAACCGCAGCCTGTGGTGGTGGCAACTGAACTGGACTTTGAAGGAAGTCATGAATTCTGAGGAGTGAAGATAAGGAGGGAGGACAGACATTCCAGGAAAGGGAGATGGTCTAGCAAATGCAAGGAAGCAGGCTGTGGCATGTTGAGTTCTGTGAACAGCTACCTAGCAGTCCAGTTTGGCTGGGCAAGGGCTGGAAAGTGAAATGGGGCTATAAAGGTTGATGAAAGACAGATTGTGAAGGACCTAGAATGTTATGGTGGCTGAGGAGTGTGTATTTTATACTAGAGGCAATAGGGAGCCATGGAAGATTTTTGAGTAGGCAAATGACGTGTCAGATGATCTTTTTTTCTTTTTTTTTTTAGGCAATTGGGGTTAAGTGACTTGCCCAGGGTCTCACAGCTAGTAAGTGTCAAGTGTCTGGTCTGAGGTCGGATTTGAATTCAGGGCCGGTGCTCTATCTACTGTGCCACCTAGCTGCCCCCAGATGATCTTAGAAAGACTATTTTAGTAGATGTGTGTGTATCTGTTATTTATGTCTTGTTTGTAAATAGTTGTTTGCATGTTGTCTCCCCTATTAAACTGTGAGCTCCTTAAAAGCAAGAAGTATCTTTTGCCTTTCTTTGTAGCTCCAGCACTTAGCACAGTCCTTGGTATGTATGAGGTACTTAATAAATGTTTATTGACTAACTCGGGGTGAAGGCCACATGTGGCCTTGAGGCCTCAGGTTCCCCACCCCTGGACTAACTGGTTAACAGAGGGATGGGTTAGATTAAGGGGAGACTTGAGGCAAGGAGGATAGTTACAATAGTCCAGGTGAGAAGGGATGAGGACCTGAACTAGGTTGGTGGCAGTGTCAGTACAGAGAAAGGGATGGATGTTGTGGAAATAGATGACCCAGTCTCCCTGGCCATCCTTTCCAGTACTGACTGCACCTACACTCATTATCCATGACTTCCAAGTGGTGGAGTTGGAATACTTCTTTCCCCTTCCAGGCCCTTCCAGGTTCTCCCCCTATCTCTGCAACTCAGTAACCTCTCTTTGTTTGAGGTCCGTGTTATTCATATCTACCTCCAATCAAAATCCTGGTGGATGTTATCAACAGCCCCCCCCCCCCACCAAGTTACTCCTCTTCCTTCTTCAATGAGTTCCATACCTGGCTCACAATTTTCTCTCTTCCTCATCTCCTGTCCTCATACTAGCAGACTTCAACAACATATCGACTCTCCTGCGAACTCCCTAACTACTCAGTTCCTCAACCTACTCATTTTCCATAAGCTACTCATCTACCCCACTTCAGCCATACACAAAGACAATCATATCTTGATCTTACCATCACCCACAAATGTACCACCTCCATGTTCAAGAATTCCAAAATCTGCTTAGCCAAATACAACTTACTGGCTTTTTACCTCTCCCTCTCCCTTCCCTTGCAAAACGCTACTGTTTGTGCACATCATGACTTCCAGTCCCTTGACTCCTCAATTCCCTCCCAGACCATCTGTCCTGCACTAGCCACTCTCTCTTCCTTTCCCTATCTTGACCTTTTGGTGAACCAATTCAACTCTACACTTTCCTCCATTGTTGACTCCCTAGCCCCCATATCATATCACCAATTATGCCCAGCCTTGGCCTTGGATCACTTCCATCATTGCTGCCTTCACTCCTACACACATGCTGCTGAAGGAAGCTGAAAAAAATCATATAACCATTCCAACTGGATCCACTACAAGTTATATAACACAACATCAACTGGACCCTAACAGCTGCTGGGCAATCATATGCTCTCTCCCTTATCACTATCCCACTCTCCACAGTGGCTCTTCTAAACCTTTTCACCCCTCCTCACACTTCCCAAGATTTCCCCTCCCCCTACCATCTCAACTGAGAAACTTGCCTCATATTTTGGAGGAAAACAATTGTGGCCATTTGTGCTCAGCTCTGTCTTCTACCTCTTCCTTATCTCATCTCACTCATAGGCCTTCTGCGGCACTACTTCCTCCTTCACCCCTATCTCACAAGATGAAGTGGCCTTCATAACTTACCTAAGGCTAACCCCTCTACTTGTTCAAGTGATCCCATTCTATCCTGTCTCCAGATTGCCTCCTTTGTCATTCCATTCTATCATTTATTTTCAGTGGCTCCCTGTCTTTTGGCTAATTCCATTCCCTACTGCCTACAAACATGCCTATATCTTCCCCATACTGAAAAAAAAACAAAAAACCAAAAACAAAACCAAAACCAAACACCTCACTTGATCTTTCCATCTATGCTATCATCTTATACCCCTTTTGCCCTTGGTGGCTAAATTCCTCAAAAGGTGCTTCCACTTTCTCTACTCTTACTCTCTTCTTAACCCTTTACAACGCAGCTTATCTGCTCTCTCTAAAGTTACTAATGATCTCTTAGTTGCCAAATCCAGTGACCTTTTCTCTCTCCTCATTCTCCTGGACCTCTCTGCAGCCTCTGACACTACGGATCACTATCTCCTCCTTGATATGCTCTTCTCTCTAGGTTTTCAGGACATCACTTTCCCCGGGGTCTCCTCCTACCTATCTCACCACTCCTCAGTCTCTTTCGCTGCATCCTCCTCCAGACCATGCCCTCTAACTGTAGGTGTTTCTCAGGATTCTGTCATGGACCCTCTTCTCCTCTTCCTCTATGCTTCTTCAGTGAGTGATCTCATCAGCTTCCACGAATTTAGTTACCATGTGTATGCTGATGATTTTCAAACCTACCTTTCCTGCCCCAATCTCTCTACTGACTTCCAATCTCGAATCTCCAGCTGCTTATTAGACGTCTCAAACTGAATGTCCAGTAGACATCATAAACTAAATGTGTCCAAAACAGAATTCATTATCTTTTCCCCAAACTATTCCCCCTCCTACCTTCCCTGTTACATCATCCTCCCAGGCCTTCCAGCTTGAAACCTAGGAGTTATTACTTTCACTTCTGCAACATCTCTCTCAAATACATCCTTCTTTCCTCTACTACTGCCACCACTCTGATACAGGTTTTCATCACCTCACACCTTGATTATTGCAATAGCCTGCTGTTGGGTTTGGCTCTCACCCCACTCCAATACATCCTCCAGCCACCAAAGTGACTTACTTTCCTAAAGCTCAGGTCTGACCAAGTCTATCCCTACTTGATAAATTTCAGCGGCTCCCTATTGCCTCAAATCCTTCATAACGTAGTCCACTCCTACCTTTCCAGTCTTTTTACTCCTTACTCCCTGACATTCACTCTTCAGTCCAGTGACACCTTCCTCCTGGCTATCGCTGGAACAAGACACTCCATCCCTCCACTCTAGGCATTCCCTCTGGCTGGCCGCATACTTGGAATGTTCTTCCTTTTCCACTCCCAACTACTGACCTCCCTGGTTTCCTTTAAGTGTCAACTAAAATCCCATCTTTGACTGGAAGCCCTTCTCAACTTCTATTTATTTTACTCTATTAATTATTTCCCATTTATCCTGTATATATCTTGCTTTTTAAATATTTATTTGCACGTTGTTTTCCCCATTGGATTGTAAGTTTCTTGAGGACAGAGGCCATTCTTTGCCTCCTTTTGAATCCCCAGGGCTTAGCACAGCATCTGACACCTTGTAGGCGTTTAATAAATATTTTTTGATTGATTGAATCAAGACTTGTCAATTAATTGTTTGGAACCTGGGAGAGAAACAGAGTAGGTGACAATGACAGTTGTCAACCTGGGTGATTGGAAGGATAGGAGCGTCCTGGATTAATATAGGCAAGTAAGGGTGGGTTTGGTGAGAAATTAGAATTTAAGGCAGGAGTCAGTGGGCTGCCTTTCTTTTAGCTTTTATTTGTATCCCCCGCCGGGCGCCTAGCACAGTGCCAGGCACAGGGTAAGCGCTTGATAAATGCTCATTGCTGGGAAAGGGAATGATTCCGGTTTAAACCGCCAGGTCTGAGATGCCTCCAGGTGGCGATGTCCAGCCCTGGATGTAGCCGCCCCAGAAGAGATTAAGATCAGGGTATGTTCCCTAGGGGAGGAATCTGCAGGAGGAAGAGGGGTAACAGGACCTCCCTCCCGCCCCGCCCCCGTCCCGGTCCACGGAGCGGATTGGCTGTTCCGACGCTCCGTAAGGTGTCGTCATTGCTGTGCGACCTGAGGAAGTCTGTTTTGCCGGGCCGGGCCTCCCCGGCTCCGGCGGGTTTCTCCTGGACGAGTGCAAAGTCTCCACACTTTACTCCATCCCCGCGATGGAGGAGCCCGATGAAGGGTCGTCCCCGGAGAAGGCAGGAAGGGGCTCTGCGTCAGATGAGGTGCCGCTCTTTGCCGCTGCCTCCACCCCCGGGCCCGTTCTGGAAGCTGCCCAGCCGCCCGACGCGGCGCCGGAGACGGATGGGGAGGGGAGTGGGGCCTCCAAGGAGGCTGCGGCGGAAGACGCTGAGGTAAGCCTCCCCGCGGGTTTCGGACCCCGCCCTGACCCCGCCTCGGGGCCTTCGGCCCCCCGGGGAGCTCCCCCAGCCCGCTCTCCTTCTCGTCGGTGGATCGAGGGCTGCGGACCCTAGTGCATTTGAGCCAGGAGATCTGGCGCCCACGAGCGGCCCCCACAGCGGGTGACTGTGCCCCGGGTGTCCGCGGGGTGGGGGGGGAGAGCCCCTAGCAAGGCTGGAGAGATGCGAGGTAGTGCTCTACTTGGACCCAGGAGGCAAAATTAGGAGCAGTGGGGTGGATGTTCAACGGGGAGTTGGATGATGGCCTCGTATAAGAATTACCATTTTCATTTCTTTGGTTTTATTCCTGACTAAAGACAGAATCTAGGTTTTTGCTGTCTTGACATTTCTGTATTTGCTCTCCTCTTTTTCATCTAAGACACATCATTTTCTCATTCACTGAAAGAGCCTTAGACCTGATTTGGGTTCAAATCCTTGTACATAGACACACACATATTATAATAAAAATATTAAAATAAATTTATTTTTAAATTTGTATTGATATCATTTGCGTTTTCCACATATTACCCTCCTTTTCCCCCTCCCTGGAGAGCCGTAACTCTATAGCTGTGTAACCCATGCTTGACACCTCTCAGCCTGAGTTACTTCATCTGTTAAGTGGAAATACTTTCACCACCTACAGCACTATTTCTTAAAGAAGAAACTACTTTGTAAATCCCAAGAGCAAACTTATGTTATGGATATGTGTGCTCTGAGTGAATCTTTGTAAATCTTAAGCTTTTATGTGTATAAAAACTCACGGATAGCTGATTTCATTCATTCAGCAAGCACACACATAGACTTTGTAAATCTTAAAAGCATTTTCATGTATAAAAAACTCAAATGGATCTGATTTCATTCATTCATTCAACATGCACTTAGAGCTCACCTACAGTTTGCTAGACTAGGTGTTAACGGGTGTTAAACACTAAGGATACAGACAAAAACAAAACAGCCCTTGCCCGCAAAGAGCTTACATTCTGTTGGAGGGAAGAGAAATACATTTTCATGAAAAAATAAAGGATATGTACAAAATAAATACAAAGTGATTTGGGTGAGTAGGAAGGAGCTAACAACCGAGATGCCTTTTGAAAGCAGATGGCACTTGAACTGATCCTTGAAAGCTCCAGTTCCAAGAGGCAGAGGTGAGGAGGAAGAACATTTCAGGTATAGGGGGCAGTCTATATGTAAAAGAAAGAAGGAGGGATATAGAATATTGTTTATGGAGAAAAGCAAATAGGTTAGTTTGAAGTATAGAATACATGAAAAGGGAGTAAAGTGAAGTCAATTTGGAAAGCTAGGCTGGAGCCAGATTACAAAAGGCTTTAAAAGTCAGGTGCCTTCACAACCTTGTCTTCTGCATGGATCCCTTCAGTGTACACTTGAGCTAATACAGCTGCATTTCCCCTTTCATTCTTCTTAGTGAGAACCTCTTCTGTAAAGCATATTCAGGACTATGATATTAAGAATCTGAATGAGGTAGCTCCATTTTTTGATGGTAAAAAGAATTCATTATATAAATCTTTGCAAGGCTTTTCCATCTTTCTTCTACTTGTTGTTCAATTTCATCCTTAAATGCCCCTGGAATAACTTGTCTTATAATTAAGTATCTCTTTTAAAACAAGATTTACCCTTCCTGCTTTCCTGTTTTATGCGGTGACACTGTTCATAATCTTCCATTCCCCTGCACGTTGAGATTTTACAAATGAATTCATAATCTAAACTGCAATCTAAACCCCCAAGGTCACATCTATACCATGTTGAGGCATTACTGAGTGTCCACCATATACAGAGGACCTTGAGAGGCACTGCAATAGATACAAAGATAATTAAAAGTCACCACACTCAAGAAGCTTATATCCTATTAGCCTACTTAGGATATGGAGGATAAGCATAAGAAATAGAAATAATACAAATATACAAATCACAAGGTATAGATGTTTGAGACTTCAGACAAAGGTGTGATTACATCCATTTGGTGATCTCATAAAAGGTTTCATGAAGGAAATGTCATTTGAAGTAGACCTAAAACAATAGAATTTTGAAAGGCAGATGCAGAATATAAGCATTACAGAAAAGGGAAAGGAAAGTTGAGATAAGATGGTAGGAAAGCTAAAGGTGGTAAGAATAGACCAAATTGGTAGAAATATAATTTTATATATAACAGAATCAGTAGGAAGTAAGGCTACAAAGGTGGGTGAGAGGCCAGAGCAAGAAGGGCTTAAGTGGCAGACTGAATAAGTGGCTGAAATGACACTGGTGACACATAATGAACTTCCAATACACTAAAACCCACAGACTGTTTTTTTCAAACTACTCTAAATAATCCACACTAGGCTTACTTGAGAAGTTGATTTCCTTAACCCAATGTAAGACTTGACATTTCCTTATTAAGTTTGGCCCACTGCCCTAGCCTGTCAAGATGTTTTTAATACTGATTCTGTCATTCAGCCTGTTAGCTTCCTCCTCCCACCCCTTTTGGATTATAAGCACATTTATGATCTTGCTATTTGTGCCTTTAACATCTTTATCAAGAGCTTATATAAACAGTACAGAATCAAGCACGTATCTTTGGAGCATTCTACTGGAGACCTACTGTCAAGTTGACATTGAATTATTAAGAACTACTCTTTGAGGGGCAGCTAGGTGGCACAGTGGATAGAGCACCAGCCCTGAAGTCAGGAGGACCTGAGTTCAAATTTGTACTAGCTGTGTGGCCTTGGGCAAGTCACTTAACCCCGATTGCCTCACTAAAAAAAAAAGAACTACTCTTTGAGTCTAACTATTCAACCAGTGCCAAATCTATCTCACTGTTATCGTTTAGTCCACATCTTTCCTTCGTGTGAATGAGATACTTTCTAAGATGTTTTGCTGAAATCTAGGTTATACTTTATAGCTTCCCCATATCTACTAGTTCAGTGACCCCCATCATCCCAAGGTTTTAAGCCTGGGTGACTAGGTGGTACAGGCTTACTCCTACATAGCACCCTCACCAACATTCTATTAATACATTATAATTAGTTAAATACTTAATACCAAACCCTCATGCAATCTCATTCTCCATTGATAATTATACCTATGAAACAAGCTTACCCTTGTAGTATTCATCTAAACCCATTTTTTGACATACTGTGCCTCAGAAACTTTAGCAAGGGAGCTGATAAGTTGGGGAAGAGAAAATAATAAATTTGATTTTGAGTAACATGCAGTGGAGATGTTAAATAGGCAGTTGGGAATATATTATTAGAAATTAAAGATTTCCTAAAACAACCATATCTGAATCACAAGCAGGAACTATAGGCTATTCAGAGTTGGTTGCCTACTTATTTATCTCCATCACTTACTTTTGAGGTCAGATTTAAAGCTGAAAGGAACATAAAGAGGTCATCTGTTTAAGACCTTTCAAACATAAGAGTTGTCTGAAGCACTGAGATGTCACACATCCACTTGTCACAGGCAGGACTTGACCCTAGGTCTTTTTGACTCCAAAGCCACTCCTCTTCACTACCTGGATCACAACTATACTTTTTCAGGGAATGTAAGTATGATGTGGGTTGGGCAAGCTCAGTAGTCACCACCAAATGCTACTGGCTGAATTCATACTGAAGGGCCAAGATTGATATACCAGATGTGCCTTTTACTCCCACACAACATGTAATTGGTTTATGTGCCTGGAGTCATGGGACTTTCTCTGCCTGATATTGCTCCTGGAATATCTACAAATTTGGGGGAGGATTAATCCTGGAACTATGATGTCCCATTCCTATTTCCCAGGACCACAATTAGACATCTGAGACCTAAGGTGGCAGTGAGGCCAAAAAAGTCCAGATTCACCTTGTATACAACAAATTGTTAGCTCTGTATAACATGGTAGGTAGTTTTAAAACATAAGCCTGACTTTAAAGCCCTCTATGAAGGTAAAATTATTTGCTGCTTAAAAAATTATTAGTTTGCTGAGGGGTAGGTTGGAATGAAGGCTGAAATTTGATTGCTACCTGTGGATTTTAATTATATTCCATTATCCACAGTAACACATGACTAAGAAATATAACTATAATAGTTTGGATATAATGTAATTTAATTTTTTCATATGTTAAACATTTCCCCTAAGAGACCAGTAGCTCCTTGAGGGAAGCAACCCACCCAACACAACAGGTGCTCAGTAAATGGTTTCTTCTTATTTTTTAATGATGCCATCAAATCCAGTCAGACTGGAAAGCCAGCCAATTTAATAAGCTGGTTTCTTTAATTTGTCCTATCTGCTCAAGGACCAGGAAGAATCAGATTTAACAGGAACTGGAATGGAGGACTCATCATTACTTCCTCCTGCAGTCAAGAAGATGAAGATAGAAATTAAAGAGAGGAAAGAGAAAAACCACAAAGTAGATGAAGATGAAATTCAGAAAATGCAGTGAGTTACCTTCCCATGTCATCTTCCCTGAAAGCTCGGATTTGTCCACAAAAAAAGTTTAATCCTGATAACTTCTGTATTGGTTTAGGTACAATTCACAAAATTTAACTTTTACCATAAATCTAAAGTATTAAAAGATTAAAATGTCAAGAGGCAAAGTTGGCTTCTAGAAACACTGTCCTTTGAAGGCACATAGAGTACATGCTGTAACTCGGATACATTTGTGCCCAATATGGTGGCCAGGCTAAAATCCTTTTTCCTATTTCACTGCTGCTTCTCTTGAAGTGAGAAGTATGGCTCACTCTGATGTGTTGCAAGCTCACTGGGACAAAGAACTGTTTTCTGAATCGCCCACCTCATACTAATTTTCCATGTGCATCAAAGGAACTGAACTATTTCCCTTATTTTTTTCTCAGAATCCTGGTTTCTTCCTTTTCTGAAGAACAGCTAAACCGCTATGAAATGTACCGTTGATCAGCATTCCCTAAAGCCGCTATTAAATGGGCAGGGATGAACCACTGGACTTCACTGTCATCACCTATTAAGATGAAGCCAGATTGAGAGGTTAGCACTGAGAAGCAAAGATGAAAACCTAGATAATACAGGTGGAAAAAATACTTTTCCCTCAATTATGTGGGTAATAGCAGTTTTGTTTCTGGTCATTATATTTCAAGTGATAAAACGAGATAGTCATTAAAAGTGCTTTATAAACCTTAGAGCCACCTGAGTTATCCTAATCACCAAACATACTGTCTTACGAGTACGTTAAGTTCCAAAGACCTATTGATCATATATTATCTTAATCTTAAAAATGCTTTGTTTTTCAAGCTGGTCCAGTCTATTACTGGCACCTCAGTATCTCAGAATGTTGTCATTGCTATGTCAGGCATCTCTAAGGTATTCGTCAGGGAAGTAGTAGAAGGTAAGGCCTGATAAAATAGGTGTTTAAACAATGGGCTGAATCCTTAATGCTTTTATTTTCAAGAAAAAATACTGAGGGACCATATGTGTTTGTTTTTGACTTGGACTTTAAATACTAATGAGCAACCTGAGCAGTGTAGGCTTCCCTGTTTGCATTGTGTTAGGACAAATGGGGAGCACTGTATATTCACGTAAGCATGGCCTCCATGTCTTCTAATTCTCTACAGATCCCTTAAGGTGCGTAAGAAAACTCTGGCTCCTTAGCCCAGAGAAGTGAAACTGATGCTTTGATCCTTGTGCAAGGGGGCACACCTGTTACTGCTACTGCTGGCATGGTGAAGCACACCAGAGAAGTGGAAGAAGTGGCCACAGTGGTTACACACACACACACACACACACACACACACACACACACACACACACACAAAGTTACTGTCATAAATTGAGTCACTTTTAAATGGATGGATGCTTTAAACAGTCATTTAGAATTAAATCTCCTACTGCGATGTAAGAAGCAACATTCTGCTATAGAAACAAGCACCTCTTACCTGTTTCCATAGCTAGCTCAAGAGGTGAAGGAAAAGTTAGAGGGCTCAAAAGAAATCAGATTGTAAGTTAATATGTAGAAATGCTTTTCTCTTGGATTTTTTCTAGCTTTGGATGTATGTGAGAAATGGGGAGAGTTGCCACCACTACAGCCTAAACACATGAGGGAAGCTGTTCGAAGACTGAAATCAGAGGGGCAGATTCCTAACTCAAAGCACAAAAAAAATCATCTTTCACTAGGTCTAGGAGCTTCCTAAGCTGTACTACTGAAAATGGAAGGACTGACTTTCTCCCATTGAGGCATTATGCACTATTGCTCAGATGTCCCAGTCCCTTAGGGACACTGTGATCAAACATCTGCCCCCAAATCTTCAAGCTCAAAGTTACCTGGTAGAGAAGTGCAGCCACTTTCAGATTTGTTTCCTGTCATTGTAGGACCATTTAGGTCAGGTTGGGATTGGTGATAACTCTTAATTGGCTAACTGAAAAGGGGAAGTGTCCTTATATATAGACCTCTTGTACAAAGCATACAAGAGTGCTGCTTTCCAATGGATAAAATTCTTCTAAGGATCAATCTTCTTGATTAATCTCAAGAGTACCTTATTTTGCAAGTTTCACATTGGAACCCTAAACTGCTACCCTCAGGGTTTTAGATCTGGTTTGAAGTTGATAACAGGCTAGAAATTTCTAACTTGTATAATGTGACAGTTCAGTTTACAATGTTAGCAACTGATGGAATGACAGAATAGTTTTATTACTTTGTAAAAAATTAAACATTATCATGTGGTTTTTGGTGTATGATCATTATACTATTTTCTAACTTGGGACATATGTACTTTGGTTTGGTATTCAAAACTTGAAGCCATTGGCAAGGATGATTGGGGTGTGGAAAAATAGTTCCTGTTCTCACCTTCCATAGTTTTGTGTCCAGGATATGGATGATTTTTCCTTAGCCTTCTCGATGTAAACATTTGAAACTACTTTATCTGGCATTACTATTAATCTGATTCATCTCACATAGAAAGGGTTCTAAATGAATTTGAAGCAGGATTAAAAGGCTGCTTTCATTTCCTCTTAGACAGACAGACAGACCTAAAGCCAATGCTGTTCAGTAAGTTTAATTTACCATTTTTCCAGGTGGTTCACAGAACCAGTACACGCATGGAAATATTAGATATTGCAACATTAAAATTCCTAATACTGACTAGGATTCTGGTTCAGCAGATACAACCACAGTTTCCTCAGACAGAGGAGAGTGAAGTGATTTTTCATGGACAGTGATCAGCAGTAATAAGGCCAATTTAAAACTTTGGGAATTCCCAGAAGTTGTTTCCTTTCTGTTGTGTATCATTGGGAAAAAGGGAAGGCATTGTTTTTAATACAATTCAAGCAGAACGGTTCTTAATTTTTCTTACTAAGGCAGAAGCTCTACCTATAAATATGAAAAGGAATTATTAGAAGAGATCTATCTGCTAGCCTGATTTTGAATATCTACTACTAAAACAAAGGGTTTTCCTAATCAGGTTCCCTCAGCCTCAGATGCTTTAGTGGTTTTCACAAGGAAAAGATTGAAGACTACATTTAAGTCTTGATCCAAATTCAATAAATTAAATCAAATCAACTTTTAATGTGAATGTATAAAAACAGGAACCTCTGCTCCAACTTTACTTATGGGCATTTCATAGGGCTGATAGGTCACAACTGACACACCACTGTCGGTGGTGCCCGGTAAGGCTCACAGTTGGGGCTGCAATGATTTCTAAGTAATTTGGAAAGAACACATTCATATATTTGCCACTTAGCAAACAGTGTCACAGTGAAGAGACTTAGGGAAGAGTTTAGCTTCCAAAATTAAAGGGCTTATTCTATGTCTCTTCAAAATCTAAAGGTCTTATGGGGCTTCAGCTGTTGCTGGAGTGTTAGTTGCTTCCCACTATCCACAAAGTGGAAGAAGGGGAAATTATTCAGCAGATGACAGTGACTACGACCCAAACCTGATTAATGGAATCAATCCTTGATGACTAATTGGAGAGCAGAAGAGGTAACTAGATGCCATGGTTAAGTTTCCTGAAAGTATGATGCCAATATCCAGGCAGGCCTCTCAGCAAACAATGACAATATATTAACTGAAAAGTGATCGAGGCCTTTGTCTTTGGGGCTGTGACCACTGGGCAGCATGGCACAGCTTCTTTATAAATGCAATGAATCCCTGCATCACTTAACATTTCAAGTTGCCTTCTTTCCAATTCACAACATACTCAACCCTAGTTTTATCCAGTTTAAATAGATTACCGATAAGCACCTACAGGAGTGTCTAGCACCTGCATTCAAATTCCATACCTAAGGACCATTCTTTATAGAGATATGTAAAAAGCAAGACATACAGTGAGATCCATGACAATTCCAGGGTCAAACTGTGAATCAGGAAAAGTTAGTCATATCATGCAAAGAATACACTCCTCTATTTGCCATGGGTCAGAATAACTGAACCCTAGCAAAGGCTGAGTTACAAAAGCATTCTGATGTCAAATTCAACCTCCCAGGACATGGAAGCGGCAGTAACTACAACATTTGCACAGTATCTCACTGGCTCTGGAGAAGGTCTCACGTTTAGTCTCTATGTGCAGCGATGTAAACAAAAGTCTGCATGACAAATTCAGATGGTACAACTTTAAGGACTTCATATTCAAATCGGTCATAAGAGCAGAATGTCAAGACATGTTGAAGGACAGCAAAGCTGCAGGTTGGACAAAGACAGAGCTGCTGAGGATCGTCTGCATTTTCTTCACCGTTTCATGCATAGGAGGTCAAGCTGCTCAAAGGCAGACCCCCTCCAAGCCCAAGGAACCAGAGAAGAAGTGGACAGAAAGACATTGCAACTCTCCCCTCATCACTTTCAGCAGCACACCGAGCAGTGGACTACCGATTTTTCACATTTTCTTCATTAAGAAAAAGTCTTCTTTCCTCCCTTAATACAGGGCAGTAGAGAAGCCACAGAAGACAGTGATTAGATGGTGTCATCCTAGTAAAGCTAGGGGGAGATGATCTGTACTACCTTTCCCGAGGGAAAGTTCCAAGACACAATGGCAGAAGCTGCTCAGTAGAAGGAAGCCAAAAAGCTCGAGGTCTTTGAATGCCACTTTGCCCTGCCTTTTATAGTTGTTCACAAAACTTCAACAAACCCTAGGAGTTGGCAGGACAGTTATTAGGGTGATAGCCTTAGTCATAATTTGGCCTTTTATTTATCCAATTGTGGTCCATTGTTAATCTTTGCCAGATGACAGCTATCATAAACTTTCCCCCCATTTTCTTTGTAGGGAAAGGAAAAAAAAACACAGCTATGAGATATTTACTCCATCTAAGTGAGCATGAGGTTTAACAACCTCATTTTCAAGTTTATGGTTCTTTTTTCAATCCCCTTAAAAACATAAGAAATGCTCACTTGGTCAGACCAAAAGTCCACTCCACTTGGTCTGTTTCAAAATTCCTACAAAGGATGGTTTGTGGGAGAACATTGCCCGTTGTGATGTATACCCCCAAAGCTCTAACTTCCCCTGATAAATGATTAGCAGGCTATCATATATGAATTAATCTTAAGACCTATATAAGCAACCTACTTATACTCTCTGCCTGTACCAGGCAGGATATATATATTCCCCCAATCCATAGTAACTTTAGAAAAATTTGGTGTGGAACCTTGCCAAACTTTTTTAAAGTCTAACTTACCTATAAGTCAAGCAGTTTCCTGTTTAAAGAAAAGACTGTTAACCTTTCCCCAATGAGTCATGGATATAAAACTGTTAAATTATTCTATCTAGTATCAATTTTTACCAGCTCGTCTGGTTACAGTTAACCAACTGATACACTTCCTGGGTCTACACATCATGGAGGAAAAGCAGGTTCTTCTGTGGGAGAAGAGGCAACACATGGGCAAAAGGGTTTGTTCCTCCCAGAAAAAAAAGTCACAATTACAAAGGAAGCAAGGCTTGGCCATGTTGGATATTTATACTGACAGCTAAAAAACACTATTAGCTTCCACCCTGGTAAATATTAAGAGAATAGTTGCTGAGTCACACTCTCATCTACAGGGGGAATAGATAAGAAGGGTGGGAGACGGGAAGAACTGATGAGGGTTGGGACTGGAATTGTAGAGAAGGTCCAAGATCCTCAGAAGGCCAAGAGTACTAGGGCTCAAAACCAAGAATATCACTCATCTGGATCCCACTTCAACCAGATCAGACCTTCAGCAGCTCTGGGTTTACCATTTTTGTTGTTTTGAGTTTTAAATAAACTGATATAGAAGGAAGAGACAATGTTGGCATTACACCCCTTGTTTACTACTATTGCATTACCACAATGAGTTTGGTTTCTTCTTATATCTAACAAATCTTCCTGAAAAACCTGATAGCAGTATATGCAAAGATGAAATATGCTCAGCTCCTTTCCCAGGAATGGTAGGGTGCTGTCCCTTTCTCTTACCATACCTAAGGTGTTACATCTGGATCCTCTTGGGCTCCATCCATCCCTCTGCACCCATCACCATGCTGTCCTTCTCCCTGTGGAGCTGCAACTTCCTCAGTTGGGGCTCAAGGCCAGATTGGTTCAGTTTTGCTACAGGAAGCTCTGGGACATGTAATCTTTGGTGGTTCATTCTGAGGATATTGGAAGGGGCAAGGTCTTCTCCCTTATACAAACTCATGTTAAGGAGGGAGCAAATATTTTTGCAAAGACACCAGGAGGTGAAATGGTCCTACACACAGAAAGACTCCAGCCCATTGGGCAAGTGGAGCTTTAGAGAGGTTATGAATGGCACTAGAACAGTGAGAACCACACACAAAGGTTCCTACACCCCTGGGGCTGGATGTAGCTGCCCTGTCTTTGTCTAGAACGCTGGCAGGAATGAAAAATGCCCCAAAAGGGCAGATTCAGGAATTCCTGCTTTCCCTCCAGTGTAATCAAACAGACATATTCCACATCAGATGGAGCTTTCTTCCCTCTGTGGTGCTGCTGCTGGTGTTATTTCCCGGGGGCAGAGGCAGCTGGTGTTACTGCTGTCAAAGCTGGAACAGAGGATTATACTTCCTGATTTCTTGTAGAAGCTTCTCTTTGTCATTATTGGCACAGGCTAATGCTTGCTTCATGGCTAAAAGTTCCTTCTGTAGGGTGGACAGCTCTTTCACCTGAGTAATAAGAAATCAAAGGTTATGGTATAGTAGAAAGAAGATTCAATTTGTAGTCACTGGGCCTAGATTCAAATTCTGGCTCTTCCATTTACTGACAACAGGCAAGTCATTTAACTTCTTTGGCCTTCAGTTTCCTCATCAGTAAAAGAACATGGACTAGAGGATCACTAAAGGTACTTTCCAACTTTAAATCTATGATCTTATGAACATTGTACTCCTATCCTTATTCTCTTCAACATTACCATACTTCATCCCAGGGAAATATTTAATTAGGATTTATATACCAAGATCTAAACCTCCCAAAGACTATATATCAACACATCTGGGACAACTAATGTGTGATCAGCAGCCACTCATTTGAATGAATGTGACTATGTGCTACTTAATCCTATTTGAAGCTGACGCTACCAGATAAGAAGTGATCAAATTACTAAGCTGCAACAAAGCAACATGTCCTGCCTTCTGAGGGCTTCACTGCCTAGATTACATACACCTGTGAGTTTGTGGGGGCCACATTCTGCTCAACCAGGTCTTTACCTGCTGTCCAAAAAGCATTCCTGTAGGTAATCCAACCAGCTGTTCCTCTGAGTGCTGCTTTTTGTCATACTGAGGTCCTTCTGATGATGGCTTCTCCTGGGCAGCGGCTGGATAAAAAAGCAATGGCGTAGCATCAAACTGGGGCCTCTAAGGATTCCAGAGTCCTTACGATGAAAAAACAAAAAAAAAGGGAAGGGGGGAGGACATAGACAGGAAGAAGTAAGATCTACTTACCTACTATGTGGAAGACGCCATCATCATCCCGCTTCACCACAATATGCTCCAAAGCCAGAGTGACAGGGATAGGTCCTGGGGATGTGGGGTAAATTGGGGGGCTATCATCCTATAGAAGAGGAGAAAACAACCTCCTGATGTCCCCAGCCAGGACCTGGAAGGCTAGATAATACTGCCTTGACCCTCTGGAACATCTTCCCATGAAGGTTGAGCTTTCACATCTATTCATTTCTTACAACATTCTCATCATGTACAAGGAACAAGAATGATTCTCCCCTATTTTACAGGAGGATCTAAGGTCACACAATAAATTAGTGCCAGCTAGAATGAGAAACAAAGTTTTTTGATTCTGAGGGCCAGGGTGCTTTGCCAAGAGAAAGGAGATTTGGTGAATGAGCCTTAACTTCCACTGCCAGACAAATTTTCTCACACAACCCATTCTCACTCACTCAACAAACATATATTAAGCATTTACTCTGTGCAAATCACAGTATCACTGAGGAAAACTAAACGTTTAAGTCATGGTTCCTACCCTCATGAAGCTTATAGTCTAGTAGGGATATAAGACACCAATAGGGATAGTTATAATACATAATATTATATGACAAGTATACTTACTAAACAATACAGTGCTATGTGACACCTGAGGTAGGTTGTGGAAATCACTACAATGCCTGGCTAAGGATCTCTAGCTTGAATCATCTAGGCACACTATCAACAAAGGCCCCAGAGCCAAGGAAAATGAAAAGTTTTTTCCTCACCTTCAAGGTGATGCTCATGTTCAACAGTTCAATTTGCAAAGGGATAATCACAGGAGGCTCCTCATCTTCCAAGAAGGGCCCCAGGCCAGTGAGCACTGAAGTCAACAATTCCAGACTGCCACCATGGAGCAAGAGGCGAAGGAAACCACTCTTTGAAGCCAAGGGAGAGTGAACAGCAGCACAGGGTCCTACCTCAAATCGGAGGCCCATGGCAGGCTTGGTTTGGCTAGTCTTCTGAGCTGGGGACTCTGGCAGAGAACACAGAAGGCTAATCACTCTGATGACCCTGTTAAGACCTATCCTCAGGACAAGAATGAGAAAGTTGGGAGCAATGCTTAAGACACAGGACCTTGTGCTCAATGAAATCTCTAGCTTTGTCAGGACTCTGGTTTCCTCATCAGTATAAACGTACCCCAGAGAGAAACCAACATATCCTCACTTATCCTAAATTTGTAAGTCCCCCCCCCTTTTTTTTTTAAAAAAAAAGGACAATGAATATTTAGGGATGGATCCTAGATACTGATAAAGTTGAGAGTGCAGATGCAGATGTCAACAGAAATGCAGACTAAAACAAGTCTACACCTAAATCTTCAAGGTGAAAGAAAAACATGGGAAAGGAATGAAAGGGGAAGCCCATTAAAAATTCAGATCTGCTTCTACCACAGAAAGATGCCATCATTTTCCAGCTAAAAAGAGGTTTCCATGAGATTCTTCCTCCCCTGGGGGGCTTCCAGAGAAAATGAGAAGGCTCAGCACTGAGTATGATGCCATGGGAACACACTTCCCATAAGGAGAGATAACAATACATCACCATGTACATATAATGATAGAATAATTTGGCTTTTGTATTCATTAGCTCATTTGGTATAATCACCCTAAAAGGTAGCCAGAGTAGGTTCTATTGTCCCAATTTTGTAGACAAGAAACATGGATATCAAAGAACTGAACTGAGGCCAGATCTAGAACCTATTCAAATGCCCTTTGTACTAACCTATCTCAGAGGAAAATTGGGCTAAGGACCCACCAGATAAATTCTTCTTAGAGCAGGAGTCACTCTTACCTGGGCACTGCTCATGCAGGAACTGCCAAAGCCTCACAATGCCAGGCTGCTGGAGGGTTAGTTCCTCTGACTGCAGGGCCACAGCGAAGTCCTCATCTCTTGCTTCAATACCAAGAGCCACTTGGCTTACCTTCAGGACCAGAACTGATACCTATAAAGAGAAGATCATCAAGGCCTGCAACTTACAGCAACCAGTGCTAATGGCCTATTACCTACCCCTGAAGAAGAAATGAAGTACAACTAACCGGCTGAAGGACAGGGTCTCTCTTGCTAGGTGAAACTGAGCTATTCACCTCTGGAGATATTAGGCCATCATCATTTACTCTAGGGCTCTCTTGATTACTACTATCATCCAATGCTGGTGGAAGTTGTTCTGGGGGTATTAATTCCAATCCAGACTCTGAAAAAAAAGTAAATATTTGGGAAGTGGCCTGGGGCCCAGAAGTCAAAGGACACAATTCAAAACCTACCTGAATTGCTAAATAACTGAATGACTAGTGCCCTCTCTCCCTAAGTCCCAGATTTTCTCTTACTAACAAGAACAAAATACTAACAAACACATTTATGATGGTGTAAAGATAAAGTTTGAGGTGTGTATATATATACATATATATATATATATATTTTTTTTTAGGCAATTGGGGCTAAGCGACTTGCCCAGGATCACACGGCCAGTAAGGGTCAAGTGTTTGGTCTGAGGCTGGATTTGAAGTCAGGTCCTTCTGACTTCAGGGCTGGTGCTCTATCCATTGCGCCACCTAGCTGCTCCTCTGAGGTATAATTTCAATCTTATTCCACTAAGTTAAAAATCTGCCATTTTTTAAGTTAAGAAAATTTATATGTTTTATGAAGTTTTAATTCTTGAAATCACATAGGATGATTTGTCAGAGATGAATATAGGCACTAATGAAGGCATGGATTCCCCTAACTTCTGCTTTTACTTACCAGATTCCAAAAGCATTACAAAGCTATCACTTCCGTCGCTGTCCACTGAAAGCCTATCTTCAGGGCCACCACCATCCTGAGAGACTCCATCGAGTGACTGCTGGGACACTGTCCTCTTCATTGAGAAACAACGAAGCTTGGCAGCTCCTCCACTGGCCGAGGTTCCTCCCTCCTCCGCCTTGGCCATGGGCTCCCTGCTTCAAAAATAACGCACAGAGGGCTAGACAATGTGTTTATTCCTCTCGAAGCCATCTACAGTGACACAAACTAGACTTCATCTATCACCCAAAACACAACAGAGATCAAGATTTTCTTCAATAGCTGCCAACTTGAATTCACCTAGTCTAGCCCAGAACTTAGGTATTTTTCTCACCCTACCCCTAAAACCACCTTCTCTATCACCTCTCACACTTTTAGCTGGTCTCAGTCCCTTACAAGAAATGAGAATATATACCTCCCTCTTATTTCATTGGAGGAGTAGTGAGGAACTGTGGGTAAAAAATGGTGCATAGGTTGTCAGCTGGGCTGTGCTGGTTTTATTTAACTCTTTTTTCTTTGTTACAAAGACACTTGTGGGATGGGGAATGGGGGGAGTTATGGGGAAGGGGAAGGGAGAGCAGATATCCATAAATGACTATGATATTTTAAGAAATATATTACTAATGCACTGCTGGTGAAATTGTGAACTAATCCAACCATTTTGGAGAGCAATTTGGAATTATACCCAAAGAGTTAAAAAAACTGCGTTTCTCCTTTGACCCAGCAATACCACTATTAGGTCTGTTTCCCAAGGAGACTGGGAAAAAAGGAAAAGAACTTATATGTTCTAAAATATTTATGACAGCTCTCTTTTGGTGGCAAAGAACTGGAAAGTGAGGGGATGCCCGTCAGTTGGGGAATGGCTGAATAAGCTGTGGTATATGATTGTGATAGATACTACTGTGCTATAAGAAAGTACAAGCAGGTCGGTTTCAGAAAAACATGGAAAGATCTGCATGAAGTAAAGCAGAATGAAAGAAGCAGAACCAAGAGAGCATCGAATATGGTAAAGCAATATTATTTGAAGAGTAACTGTGAATGACTAAGCTATTCTGAGTAATACAATCACTAAAATCAACTATGAAAGACTTATGAATGAAAATGTTATCCACCTCCAAGGAAAGAACTGATAAACAGAAGTATGTATTGTATAGTTCCATATATATACCTATATCAAATGTTGGCCTTTTCTAATGAAGGGCTGGGAGGGAAGGAGACAACTCGGAACTCAAAATGTAACAAAAAAAATAAGATAATATAATTGGGAAATTAAAAAAAAAAGAAACATGTTGGTAAGCTTTTTTTCCCCTTAACCTCACTTTTGGGACTGTACTCTTAAACATTAATCTGAAAGGCTTACAGAAGTTATTCTATTAAGTGACAGTATTTATAAAAAAAAAACAACTGGCAATCTATGACCCTTGCTCCATTGAGTAGCAAATGGCAACAATCATTCATTTAACAAGTATTTGCTGAGTAAAATTTATAACCTCCCAATAAGCTTAGGATGTTCAATTCAACAAATATTTACTGAAGAACTAAAGGTGATATGTAATCAGTATTATGAGAGATACAAAGAGCTATCAGATTTCAAAGGAGGGAAGAGTTCACTTTTGTCCCAAAGGATCAATGAAAAAGGTGGCTTCTGAGCTAGGTCTTAGAGAGATGTAGGATTTAAACAAGTGGAGTTGAGAGGAAATCAGTATTCTAGGAAGAAGAAATGCCTTGAGCAAAGGCAAGAAGGTAGAAAAGCAAAGGGCACATTTAAGGATTGGTGAATATTCTACTTCAGTTAAGACATATGGTAGATGCAGAAGAGTGGAAGAAGAGGCTAGAAAGATAAAGCAGAAATTCATCCTTTTTAGAGTTGGAATCAACTTCAGAGATTACTTACTCTCTCTTATTTGATTAATGAAGACACTGTCCAGGGAGCGCAAGTGACTCCAAGTTTAACTGGACAGTTGGTGGCACATCTGGGTCAAGAGGCCAAGGCTCTTATCACTTGCTGTGGCACCTTGGTCGGACAAGCTTAGAGAAGATCTGGTGCAAGATAATGTACATGAAAGCACTTACTCTGAAAACTGTAAAGTGCTAAATACATATAAGATATTAGAATGATGACAGACTAAGTCACACCAAGGGCTAAAAAGGAAGGTTCAGAGGGAAGCACAGACAAACAGGACAGCTTTGGTTGAATTATTACAGATTTTAAAAATCTGTACAGAACTGATGTACACGATGGAAGTTCATGGTTTCATGTACAATCCTTTTCTATTCTCCTTTGTAAATGAAATAGCTTACATTATTAGTGCTTGTCCAATTCAGAACAAAAAAATTTATTTTTAAAAGAACTGTACTCTATGAAACGACATAAAGTGCAGGCAACCTTTGTGCTACTTTGTATGCAGAAAATACTTGTGCTCCACCTGCTTAACAGAACTGAATGTGGCCCTAATGATAAGCTCTCCAATTGGATATACATTTTGCAGTTTGCCCATTACTACTGGTTAACAACATGAATAGTCTAAAAATTAACCCCTTACCTTGTACTACAATGCAACCTTCCACACGATGTATCTGTTGCTTCACATTTTAAAGGTGCACACAAAGGTATTTTTGGAGCCTAAGATTTAGAGGAAAGGGAGGGGGTATGTGGGCTCACACAGGAAGCAAAGATACTCACTTGGCTGGAGGAAGGAATAACATTTTGTGCATCGTAGAGGTCATCCGATCCCGGCCTAGGCTAAAGGCATCTTTGGTCAATGACATGGCTTCCTTGGTGAGGTCCATGGTAGCATGAAGGGCTTCCCTGGTTGCATCCTTGGTCAAGTGTATAGCACTGGCCAACTCTTCCTCAATGTTCTTTACAGGGTTCACCTCGCCCTGATCACTCAGAACTGTGTCCCTACTCACCACCTGTTGCAGTGTGCCAGATAGGTTAGATATCTGGGTTTTGCTCAGTTTTTCAGTCTGTAAGGATTCCACGCATTTATGGATCTCCTCTTCATGGGCTTTGTCTCCCAGCTGTGAAGAGGGGTCCTGGTCCAGCAATACTCCATTACTATGGGGGAGATCTGTTCTGTCCTGTAAAGTGCCCAAATTCTCAATGTTATTGTCTTCCAGGACCTTTGTTGGACTTAATGGACCCCTATCTGAGGAAGCATCAGACTTCAGCTCCCTGTCCTCTGAAGGAGACAGCTCTGAATCTATGAGGCTAGTGGTCTCTGAGCCTGCAGAACCAGCCTCTGCGGTTGGAGTGGCTGGGTGCATGAGTAACGCTATCTCAGCACTAGGGACCAGGATCCCTATGCAAACTGTCCGGCTTGGCAAGGGAGACCCAGTCATCGCCTGGGTGTCCTGTGCCAACTGCTCCTGAAGACGCTGAAGTACCTCCTGCAGTCGGAGCAGAGCCAAATACTGGTAGTGGTTCAGCCTCACTCGAACACGGGAAGAAGAGTGTATCAACACATGGATATCTGCCGTAGCCTCCATTTCCATCGTGGGCCCTTTGCTGTCCACACCTCGATTCCCTTCTCTCAGAGTATTAATGACCTCAGGAAGTCCAGAAAGACTCTTCAGATCACACTCTGTCTTTGACCTCTGATGAGACCCAGACTCTGGGGCAAGGAACATAGACTGGACAGGACTGCCAAAACTGGCCGATGGCTTCATTTTTCCCTCCCTGACCAATAGCAGTTTCCGTGCCTGGGCTTGCTGCCAACAGAGAGGCAGACAAACCCATATGGATAAGGGGAAAGGAGCCACAAAGTTCAACGTGTGTCCTTTAAAGTTCTCTGTCCCTTCAAAGTCCAGGGATATTTGGGTGAAGTAGATTGACCAGAGGTCTTGGGAGGCCTGATCCCTCTGAGGAAGGAGAGGACTGGCCTGAGGAACACGGGAGTCCATTTGGAAGGCATGATGCAGGAAAAGCATGTGGAGGAGGCTGAATCCATCTGGGGCTTTGGGAAAATGAGAATAGCTGGAATGAAAGAACTCAGTAGCAGCAAAGCTACGAAAGATGTTCTGGAGGTCTGTACAACTACAATGCAGGGCATGGCGTGTATTAGTGGCAGTCATGGCAGAAATGGAGATAACAAGGGCCTGGGGACGATGCAAAGAAGCCAAGTCTTTTTTCTCCAGAGGGAGGCTCAACTGCAGGAAGAGAGTAAGATATACTTCACAATGGCCACCTAAGCACCTTAGCCCCTGAGCAAGACTAAAATAGAAAGAGGTCATCCGTGCTGTCAGGAGGCTTTGCTTATCCACCTGTTTCCCAGGATCATAAATAGACAACAGACTACTAGAATTAAAAGGGACCTTAAAGATCATCTAATCCACCCCCTTCACTTGATAAATGAAGAATCTTGGGCCCAGAAGGTTCTATTTCACCCAAGATCATCCAAGTAATAAACAGCAGAACCCAGATTTGAACTCAGATCCTCTGATTCCAGATCTAGCGCTCGTCTCCAGTATGCCACATTGCCTCTTTTACTAGGTGAGCAGGCCAGAATGAACCCAAGATCTGTGGTCAATGGAGAGCAGTAGCTGAGAATAAGTGACTGAAATTTTACTTTTCTTTCTACCTTCAACTGGAAGGTGTCCATCAGGACATCCACATGTTCATCCTGCTGGCTTGAATGCTCAAGTTTATAGATGGCCTTGAACTGTTCCAGGCTTCGATATAAATCCAGCAAGAAGAGGTTCCCCCACAGCAAACTGATGGGATCCAGGGTAAAGGTTAGGCCATTCAGCTGCACATAGAGATTGGGACAGGGAACTGGAAAGCAGGGAAGAAACAACTTTAAACAGCACAGATGTAGTCAGATATGGTTCATTAAAGACAACATCCAATTTGGAATTAGAAGAAGAGAGGATACCCAGGTCAAGATTACAAATTTAGAGCCCAAGATATAGAAATCAACTTCAACTCAGGAAACTATTTGCAGCCACAAAACAAGATAATGTGTATAATGGATATATCTCTAATAGATGTGAAGATACAGAATATAAGACACTGATAGAGTTGGGGTACAACACAAAGACATAAAAGGAGAAAAAGACCAAGTCTACTCTTAGAAGATGACCCCTCATCTTCAGGTTGAACTGCTTACCTGGGAGTTCCTGATTATCCGGGAAGTAATACTCTGTAAATTCAATATGAATGGCAGAGACCTGAGTGGGAAGATTGTAGAGTTTTCGGCTGCATGAAAGGAGGGTAGATGGCTTTTTCCTTGGCTGCCCAGCTGTAGAAACCTAAGCCATCAGGGGCTAATATTAATGTTGACAGCAAAATTCAAAAGAAAACTCAGCTTGGTTTGGGAAAAAAGTAAATATCTTTGTCACCCTTGTCTGTGAAAGACAAGAGTCTGCCATAGAAAGCAACATTTTAGATATACTCTCCTCCATTTTTTCATTCTTTTTTTTCCCCCCGCTTTTTGGCAAAGCAATCAGGGTTAAATGACTTGCCCAATGTCACACAGCTAGTAAATGTCAAGTGTCTGAGGCTGAATTTGAACTCAGGTTCTCCTGACTCCAAGGCCAGAGCTCTATCTAGTGCGCCACCTAGCTGCCCTGAACCCTCATCTCATAGAAATGATATGTAAATCAGTTTTCACTATTTCAATTTGATTTCAATTTAATCAAATCCAATACAAGTGTTGAGTGTTTACTAATAATAATCTAATCAGTCAATTCTTTTTCTCAGTAAATGCATAGCAGCAAGGTATACAGGGAAATCCATCAGCAAATTCACTGAACACATTCCTAAAACTGGACACTTCCTAAAGGATAGGCAAAACATTAAACTCCCAAAACCTTCTTCACACTACCCTCTTCCAGGGACCTGCCCTATGCCCATCTGTAAATATGATATCTGCCTAGAAGCAAGGCCACGGACTATCTCTCATCCTTACCTGATACACATCCAAGTCATCCACACGCACCACCAAACAACTAGAGCGCAATCGGTTCCAGGCAGGTGGCCAAAGTGGAGTGGGGACAGCCTGGCAGCTGGGTAATGAGCTCTTCTCTAGAGGGGTCTTCAGGGGACTGGAGACAGATCCTACAAAATAGCAACAGGAAGTTTGGGGACAGACTGAAGGAGAGGAAAATGATAAATGCCACAAGAAGCTAAAATCCCGAAAAGATTTTCACGGTGGGTGTGGAAGAGAAAACCTCCACCAAACGTCAAAGAAATCATTCCAACAAAGACCAAGGCAATCAACCTGATGAAAAGTGATGGTAATCTTCCTTTTACTATTACAGCTCTTTTTGAAGAGGGATGAAGCTTTAGTGATTCTTCTATGGGCATTAAATTGGAGGCAACTTTCCAGAAGTCAGGCAACTTATTTCTCCATCTCCATTAGCTGTGTAAAGGCAAACAAATAGGCTAAGGCAATTATCTTCACAACCCACCTGACTTCTTGTGGAAAGGTAAGTCTGTCCCCAGATGCAAGGAAGATTTCAGATCTGACTCTTCATTCCATTTTTCTATCTTGCTTTGAAATTCTGTCACTAGCTTCTGAGCCCATTGGCCTCGGGTCTCCATGGCATCACAGTGTCTTACCCAGTGCCTACAATTCTCTCCTATAAAACAGACAAGCAAGAAGCTTTCAGTAAATCATCCAGGTCAAGGAATCTTTATTTCCTTTTACCTCCAAGCTACTTAGACCCAGTACAAAAATCTGTTCTCCAACACCCCCAGCCATCTCCACTCCTTGGAGCAATCAATTACTAGCCAATTAAGTGCTCAAATTGCTTTATAGGTGCCATATGTGTTTCTTTCTCCACTACCCTACTCCCAAACCAAGAGAAAAACCTATCACTTCCCTTCCACCCCCCACAACCAACTTCACTATTTCAGTGAGTAGAATAAAAAATTTTTCCATGCACAAAACCTTAAAGTTATTTTTGACTCTCTATTCCTTCATCTCTCATATCCTATCAGTTTACAAGTCCTATTGATTCAATTTGTAATTATCTCTTGAATTTGTCTTCTCTTCCTACTGCCCCCTCCCTCCCCTTACATTTCTTCCTATCTCCTCTCTCCCCATCTAAACCATGCTTCATGTCATTGTCAGTAAGGTAAAGTTATGTAAAGTCAGTTATGCAAAGATCTGGTCACATTACTCTGCCACACAGAACCTTTTTGGTGATTTCCTACTGCCTCCCAAATAAAACAGATTCCTGTGGCTGATATTCATGGCCCTTCACAATCAGGCAACAAAATATCTTTCCATCATTGTCTCATACTATTTGCATCTACTTAAGCCAAAGTGGTTTTTGTGTTTTTACAACTTAGCTTGTGCTGTTTGCTATACCTATTATGTTCTCTCTTCTCCTAATCAACTGAATTCCTACCCATTTAAAAGAAATATTTTGTTGATTCCCTCTTCTGTGGTTGGTTATGAAATCTCCCCTTAAAACCTGAGTTGCAACGCTGGGTGACTGGAAGGATGGTGGTAACCTTAATAATAATGGGGAAGTTAGGAAGAAGGAATGGTAAAGAAGGAAAGATAATGAGTTCAGTTTTGGATACGAAGCTGAGAAAAGGACACAGGACAGAGCCTTGGAGAACACACTCAGTTAAAGAGATGTAATTATTGCATAATGTACACAATTATTAGTACTTTTTCTCTCTTATTAATGCATTTAGAGATATAAATTTTCCCAAATATTTCTTTAACTACACCCCACAAATGTTGATATGTTGTCTCACTGTGATGATTTCTAAAATTTAGTTATTTTTCTATGACTTGTTTTCTGACTCTTTTTTTTATTCTGGAGCTTTTATTTTTTTCTTGATAATTTATTTTTAGCTTTCAACATTCACTTCCATAAGATTTTGAGTTTTAAACCCCCCCCCCAACAAGATGGCATGCAAAATAAAAATTGAGCAGAATATTACAAAATTTAGCTATGATAGGTCTTAGTGATCATTGAAAAGGAATTTTTATGTATTTATGTATTCAGAATTATGGAACATATTTACAAAAATTGATCACATTCTAAAGCATAAAGAACTTACAAATTTAGCAAGGCAGAATTATTAAAAAACAGCTTTTATAGACATAATACAATAAAAATTATAACTGATAAATGAAACATGAACAAAGAACTTAGACCTCAGTGAAGACTGATTAAAGTTAACCTCAAGAATAAGTGAGCCTTTGACTCAGCAATGGCCCTTCTAGGTCTGTATCCTAAAGAGAACATAAAAATGGGAAAAGGATCCATATGTACAAAAATATTTATAGAAGCTCTTTTTGTGGTGGCAAAGAATTGGAAATTGAGGGGGATGCCCATCAATTGGGGAATGGCTGAACAAGTTGCGGTATATGAATGTAATGGAATACTACTGTGTTTTAAGACATGATGAGTAGGCAGACTTCAAAAAAACCTGGAAAGACTTATTTTTTTTTTTCAGGCAATTGGGGTTAAGTGACTTGCCCAGGGTCACACAGCTAGTAAGTGTCAAGTGTCTGGTCTGAGGCCAGATTTGAACTCAGGTCCTCCTGACTTCAGGGCCAGTGCTCTATCCACTGCGCCACCTAGCTGCCCCAAACCTGGAAAGACTTACATGAACTGATGCAGAATGAAATGAGCAGAACCAGAAGAACACTGTACACAGTAACAGCCACATTGTGCGATGACTGACTTTCATAGACTTGGCTCTTCACAGCAATGCAAGAATCTAAGACAACTCCAAAAGACTCACAATGGAAAATGCTATCCACATCCAGAGAAAGAACTATGGAGGCTGAGTGCAGATGGAAGCATACTATTTGCTCTCCTGTCCCTCCTCAAAAGTGTTTGCTTCTGATTACCCCCTCCCCCAATCTCCCTTCTATCACTCCCCCCTCTTATCCCCTTCCCCCCTATTTTCCTGTAGAGTAAGATAGATTTCCATACGCAATTTGAGTATGTATGTTATTCCCTCCTTAAGCCAAATCTCATGAGTAAGATTCACTCATTCCCTCTCACCTCCCCCCTCTTTCCCTCCACTGTAAGAGCTTTTTCTTGTCTCTTTTATATGAGATAATTTACCCCATTCTACCTCTTCTTTTCTCCTTCTCCCAGTACAATCCTCTCTCACCCCTTAATTTTTAGATATCATCCCTTCATATCCAACTCACCCTGTGCCCTCTGTCCATATATTACACACACACACACACACACACACACACACACACACACACACATTCCCTCCAACTACCCTAATACTGAGAAAGGTCTCATGAGTTACAAATATCAACTTTCAATTCAGGAATGTAAACAGTTCAACTTTAATAAGTCCCTTATGATTTCTCTTTCCTGTTTACCTTTTCATGCTTCTCTGGAGTCTCATATTTGAAGGTCAAATTTTCTATTCCCCTCTGGTCTTTTCATCAAGAATGCTTGAAAGTCCTCTATTCCACTGAATATTTATTTTTTTTCCCCTGAAGGATTATACTCAGTTTTGCTGGGTAGGTAATTCTTGGTTGTAATCCTTAGCTCCTTTGACCTCAGGAATATTGTATTCTAAGCCCTCCAATCCCTTAACGTAGCAGCTGCTAAATCTTGTGTTACCCTGATTGTTTTTCCACACTACTTGAATTTTCTGTCTGTTTGCAATATTTTCTCCTTGACCTGGGAACTATGGAATTTGGCTATAATATTCCTAGGAGTTTTCCTTTTGGGATCTCTTTCAGGAGGTAATTGGTAGATTCTTTCAATTTCTGTTTTACCCTTTGGTTCTAGAACATCAGGGCAGTTTTCCTTGACAATTTGTTGAAAGATGATGTCTAGGCTCTTCTTTTGATCATGGCCTTCAGATAGTCCAATAATTTTTAAATTATCTCTCCTGGATCTATTTTCCAAGTCAGTTGTTTTTCCAATGAGATATTTCACATTGTCTTCTATTTTTTCATTCTTTTGGTTTTGTTTTGAAATTTCTTGATTTCTCATAGAATCATAAGCTTCCATTTGCTCCATTCTAATTTTTAAGGAATTATTTTCTTCAGTGAGCTTTGGGACTTCCTTTTTCATTTGGACAATTCTGCTTTTTAAGGCATTCTTCTCATTGGCTTTTTGGACCTCTTATGCCATTAAGGTTAGTCCATTTTTTAAGGTGTTATTTTCTTCAGTATTTTTTGGGTCTCCTTTAGCAAGCTGTTGACTCATTTTTCATTATTTTCTTAGATCACTCTCATTTCTCTTTTCAATTTTTCCTCTACTTTTTTACTTGCTTCTCAGAATCCTTTTTTGAGCTCTTCCATGGCCTAAGACCAATTCATATTTTTCTTGGAGGCTTTGGATATAGGATATTTGACTTGTCTTCTGGTTGTATGTTTTGGTCTTCTTTGTCACCAAAGTAAGATTCTATCGTCTGAATTTTTTTGGCTGCTGTTTGCTCATGTTCCCAGCCAATTACTTGGCTTTTTAACTCTGTTAAGGTAGGGCTCTGCTTCCAGTGTGGAGGGTGTACTGTCCCAAGCTTCAGGGGTTTTGTGTAGCTGTTTTCAGAGATACTTCTAGGGTCCTGTAAATTTTCAGTTCTTCCAAGATGGTATAATCAAAGGAGAGGTGTTTACTCCTCTCCTGGCCTATGCTCTGGTCTATGAGTGTCGAAGCACTCTTTTCTACTGTGCAACTGTGAGAAAGATTCCCTCTCCACCACCGCCACAAGCTCCACCATGCCAGTGCTCTGGGACTGTGACCCAGATCCAAGCATGGGCAAAGCAACAGAATCCTACCTCAGCACCAGCAAAGAGATCCCTGCAATCCTCCTCTGATCAGCCACTCAATCCCCCCACTGTGTGTGGCCTGAGAGCTCTGGAAGCAGCCGTTGCTGCCACCATAGGGATGGGGCCAGACCACACTCCTCTCTCACCCAGGTCTGAGAGACCTCTCCTACTCACGTTCTAAAGTTGTCTTTGGCATTTGTGGGTTGAGAAGTCTGGAAACCACCACAGCTGCCAGTGATTCAGTCCTCTGAGGACTGCTCCGGGTTTGCTCTTAGCTCTATCTTTGCCTGTGGAGACCATGCTGAACTGTGCTCCTCCCCCAGCCCAGCACAACAGAACTTTCCCATCAACTATCCAGGTTATCTTGGGCTGGAAATCTGTTTCACTCTGTCTTTTTGTGGGTTCTGCTGCTCTAGAATTTGTTTAGAGTTATTTTGACAGGTATTAGGAGAGGTTTGGGGGACAGCTCAAGCAAGTCATTGTTTTACTCCACCATCTTGGCTCTGCCCCACCCCCTATGATATTTCTTCACTGTTACTAAGAGTTTTTTCCTTTTTTGCTCATTTCCTCATTATCTCCACTGGTCTTTTTTTCTTACAGGGACTTAACTCCTATGGTTCTGCCTGAAGGGTGGAATAGTTTCTCCCCACTTACTCCGAATGAGGTCAAAGAAAAGGTGTACAAAGCAAAGACTGAAACAAGGAACTTATAAAAATTATAAATATCACTGTAACTGATGAAAGCCTTTGCTGTGGCTACCAACTGTCTACCTGTTGTTAGTGCCAACCTCCTTTTGTTTTTGTAGCAGCCCCTACATGGAGCTTACAGAACTAGGCCAGGGACAAAGGTGGAAGACTGTGGGTTTTTGTTTTATGTGAGGATAAATTTTGTAGACTTTCTTTTCCTCTTAACTGTTGTTCTTTTACTTAATTTGATGCATTCCTTATTCTTGAGGTGATAGGGAAAGCTAGATGCAAACTTTTACTTAACCGGACTGCTGGAAGTCCCTGAGTTGGTCTTTGAAGCCCAACCGGAATGCTACCTACTCTAGGAAGTCATCTCTGATCTACTCAGTAGACAATGTCTTTCCTTTCACTTCATATTTCATATAATACTTTCTTTGTACCTTTTTAATGTACTTATCATGAATTACTGTGCATCATAGTTATCTGTGCATTTATCATCTCCCCTTATGCAAAATCCACAAAGTCAGAAACTGTCAAGGACTATGTCTTATCTAACTGTTCCACCTCCCTTAGCAGTGCCTAACAGTGCTCTGTACAAAGTTATAATAGTAGATAAAATTTTGCTAAATTTGCTTTGATGAATCTGTCCAAGGCTCACAGCATTCAAGATGCTGATCCCCAGGCCCTTGCTAAGATTTTGTCTTGATGGGCAATAAAGTCTAGCTGAAGCATCATAGCACAGCCCTCACCATTCTCACTTTTCATTGCTCCCAATGGACAATTTACACCAAAAATCTAGAACAGTAAAATGCTTTCTTGATGAGGAAGTCTAAAACATCCCTGCAAGCAATAAAAATGATAATCTAACTCTGATTCTCCCAAATATTAGGGGCTGAAACCTAGAAACTGAGGCTCCATCCTCTGGCCCTAGAGCAATGCCACTATAATGTCATAATTCCTTCACTGTTCAAGATGTTCATACCTGCCCAGTGGAAAGGATAGTAGTCAAAGGCCATTTTCCGGAAAGTAAGTTGCATGGCACCACCCATCACTCTGTTTGTTGGGTCCCCTAGAGGAGAAGATTATAGCTTATTAGCTTAAGATGTCACAAAGAGCCCAAAATGCTACTTGAAGGAGATTCAAAGCCCATTCAAGGCACAAATCCAATATCCTACTGACATCCTAGGCCAGGGGTAGGGAACCTGCAGTCTTGAGACCACATGTGGCCTTCTAGATCCTTGGGTACAGCCTTTTGACTAAGTCCAAATTTTACAAACAAATCCTTTTATTAAGGGGATTTGTTCTGTGAAGTTTGGATTCAGTCAAAGGGCCATACTTGAGGACCTAGAGGGCCACATATGGCCTCAAGGATGCAGGTTCCCCACCCCTGTCCTAAACTCAGGGCAGATTAAAGGAAACATTTGTAGATCACCTGCAAAAATTGAGACACTGGCCTTTTGAGGCACATTGCTGAAGAATAAAAAAGTTCCATTCCATTTAATTCCCTCTGCAAAGGGATCCCAGACATCCAGGAAGGCAAGAAAAACAGTCAACTCAAGGATAATTCTAATCTCAGGTCCTTCAACTGACACTCTGTGACTCTGGCTAATAAATTTTTTTGTTTTTTTTTTTTTAAATGAAAATCATTTCCCTAAATTGCAACAGTGCTAGTCATACTGTCTTGTCACAGTACCCTGGTATTGGAAGTATAGGAATAACCCAAAGTCCAAGAAAGTTAGAGCTAACTCTCATTTATTTCCCTTGAGCTTTGGGCCTCAGATTGTCTGCGATGATGAGTAATTCTATAAACAAATAAGAATCACAAATTTAGAGCTGGAAAGGGCCTTAATAGCTATCTAATTCATTTACAGATAAAGAAAGTGAGGTCCTAAGAAATTGACAAGTGAGTAGAAGCACTAATATTGGAACCCAGGTCCTTTATGTTCAAATCTAGCACTTGTTCATTGTCCTATTCTATCTCCCACTAGAACCAAACATTCAGAAAAAAAAAATCAACAAATATTTATTGTCTTTTATGTGCCATGCACTATACTAAGGCTAGGGATAAAAGAGGTAAAAACAGTACCTGCTCTTATGGAACTTACAATCTAATGAGGGAGACAATATCTAAACAATTACACATAAACAAGATTTGCACAGAATAAATTGAAGATAATTTTATGTTTTGTTTTTCTTTTTTGGCTAGGCAATGGGGTTAAGTGACTTGCCCAGGGTCACACAGCTAGTAAGTGTTATGTGTCTGAGGCCAAATTTGAATGCAGGTCCTCCTGAATTCAAGGCCAGTGCTCTATCCACTGTACCACCTAGCTGCCCCAACTGGAGATAACTTTAGAGAGAAGGCATTAAGGGAGATCAGAAAAGGCCTCTTACAGAAGATGGGGTTTTGTTGAAACTCAAAGGAATCAAGGGAAGCAGGGGAAGAAAGAGATGAGGAAGGAAAGAATTGAAGGTATGGGGTATAGTCAGTGAAAATAAGCAAAGTTGGCAGATGAGATGCCAGGTAAGAGAAACAAAAATAAGGCCAATATCACTGGATCACAGAGTCTGTGAAGGAGAGTAAGGTCAAGACAACAGGCATTTATTAAACACCTACCGTGTGCCAGGCATGGTGCTAAGCAATGGAGATACAAAGAAAGACCAAAAAGAAAAGTCCCTGTTCTCAAGAACTCACAATCTAATGGGGAAGATGGTGTGTAAGCAATTATGTGGAATGAGATAGAGACAAGATAATTTTAGAAGGAAGGCATTAACATTGTAAAGGGAATTAGGAAGGAAGAAAGGAAACAATCACCTACCAAGTGCCAGCTACTCTACTTAAGTGCTTTATAAAAATTATCTCATTTGATACTCACAACAACCCTGTGAGGTGGATGGTGAAACAACAGAGGTTGAGTGATTTGCCAAGGTCACACAGCTAATAAGTGATTTGAACTCAAGGCCTAGTGATTTGACTCTAGGCCTAGCATTCTATCCACTGTGCTATCTAGCTAACTAAAAGGGAAAGGCTTTTTACAGAAGGTAGCATTTTGGCTGGGGCCTGATGGAAGTTAAAAAACCAAGAGACAGAAATAAGAGAATTCCAAGCATGCGTGGAGTTGGGAGACTGAGTGTTTTACACAAGGAAAAGCAAGGAGGCCAGCATCACTGGACCACAGAATATAGTGGGGAGGGAGGGGATCAGAATAAAGTATACGAAGACAAGGAAAATAGTAGGGGGCCAGATTATGAAGCACTTAAAAAGTCAAACAGAGGATTTTAAATTTGATCTGGGAGGAAAATCAATCACTCCACGAGACAGCAAGAAATAATAGAACAAAATCAAAAGATTAGAAAAATAGAGGAAAATGTGAGGTATGTGATATCAGAAACAGTTAACTGGGGAAGCGAGTCAAGGAGAGATGTTTAAAGAATCAGCAAATTCCCTGAAATCCATGATTATTTTTCTAAAAGCCTGGATACTGTTTCAAGAAATCATAAATGAAAACTGCCCAGATCTATTAGAACAAAAGGACAACGTAAAGAATCCACAAATCACCTCCTGAAAGGAACATCAAAAGGAAAAGTCCCTAAGCATATCATAGTCAAAATCCAGAGCTCCTGCATCAACACCAGCATCAATAAAGAAAAACAGTTCAAGTACTAAAGAACAAGTCAGATTCACATTAGACCTGGAAGCCCTTACCATAAATGAGAGGAAATCTTGGAATATACTATTCCAAAAAACAAAACATACAGGCTTACAACCAAGAATAACTCACCTTACAAAGTTTAGTATAATCCTATGGTGGTGGGGGGAGGGGAGGGGTGGGGAGTGGGTGTGGGAAGAGGGGGCGCGAATAGGGAGAGATGGACCTTCAGTGGAACAGAGGACTTTCAAGTATTTCTGATGAAAAGTCCAGCATTGAGTAGAAAATTTTAAATACAATTATAAGGATCCAGAGATATCTAAAATGTTAATTTACTTGAGTGAATGGAAGCATCTGCATGATGATGTGCAACCATTCTAATATGGGGAGAAGAGACAGAGTATTGTTTCAGAACCTTAATGTCATCGAAGAGTCCAAGAATTAAATAAGAAAAATACAGGACCTGGGGTCAGACTGGTACTATTCTGAGGGTTTTAAAAGGGGAAAGAGAAGAGAGGATAAAAGGAATACACTAGGGTAGAAAGAAAAAAGGAGTGGAACTTCCTATTATAATAATAAAGGTGCAAAAGAAGAAGAACACAAAACATGGAATAAGGAGTAAGAAGATCATGCCAGGGGGTGTCTCTCTATGATGAGCTCATGACAAAAATATTTCAGAATGGGCAGTCATGGATAGGTCCCAATCTCAGTCATATCTGAAACAAAGGATGGCTGAACACACAGTTTTGGTATAGAAATACATAAAACTCAACAGGGAAACAAACAATCAGGGATAAGCAAGGAGTGATAGAAGGAAGGATGGAAAAATGAAGGGAATAGCCACAAGCAAAAAAAACCAACAAACTTTACTGATTCTGAAAGAAGAATCAAAGGTGGGGGGAATAGAAAGAAAAATAACTACAATCTAAAGGCATGATTAGCAACTGTGAATGGTAAAATAAATTATGGTATAAGAATGTAAAAGAATATCACTATGTCATGAGAATGAGGAAAGAGGTGATTTCAGCAAACTCTGAGTAATATGAATTGATGCAGAGTGAACAGAGCAAGTTGAACAATTTATATGACAGCAAAAAGGTAAAGAAACAACTTTGAAAGGCTTAAGAACTCTGATCAATGCAATGACAACCATGTCTTCAGAGGAAAAAAGGTATCACTCACCTCCTAACAGATTCACGCTTTTGGACATGTCCACAATGTGGATTCATTTGCTTGACTGCTTATTTGTTAAAAACAAGCTCTCCTCCCACCTCAATTATGAATTGGAGATTAGAGAAGAAAGGATTCCAAAAACCAGTGATGCCAAAAAAGGGGTACCATTGAAACATTTTTGTAAAGGCACAAAAGAAAAAAGAAAGAGATTTAGAAGGAAGCAGGTGAGCAGAACAAGTATAAAAATAACATGCAGAATTTAATATACTTTTTTTTTAAAGCAAGTATGAAATATACAGTCCTTTTTTTGTGTTATGCTGTGTATCATGGAAATGCCCTTTTTTGGTTCAAGATACTACATCTGGAGTATTAGTTTCCATTTGGGGGAATCACATATCAGGAAGGGCAATAATAAGGTGGAAAATATCTAGAGGTCAACCAGCATGGTGAAGGGCCTTAAGTTCATGCCATATAAGGACTGTTGTGAAGGAGCTGGATATATTAAACCTGGAGAAGAGAAGGCTCAAAGGAATATGACATCAACGTCAAATATTTAGAAGGTTGGCATATGGAAGAGTAATCAGATTTGTTCTATTTGACCTCAGAGGGCAGAATTAGGATCAAGCTGAAAAGAGGTAAATTTAGGCTCTAAGTGAGCCTAAACAATTAAAGCTTTCCAAATGGGTAATTGGCTGCCCTAGGAGAAAGGGGGTTCTCCTCATTATAAATCTTTAATCAAAGGTTTGATGATTATGTTGAGGTAAATTATGGAAGATATTCTTTTTCAGGTATGAAGTAGACTGGGTAAACACTGAGATCCTTTCCAACTCTGAAATTCCATGGGGTACACAAACAAAAATGAGAACAGAGATGAGGAGAGAGAGCATTGCAAACACAACAGTCAGTGCAATGGCCTAGAGACTAGAAAGAGAGAGTAGTGTATAAAGAACAGTAAGAAGAATAATTTAGGGGCAGCTAGGTAGTACAGTGGATAGAGCACTGGCCCTGGAGTCAGGAGGACCTGAGATCAAATCCGGCCTCAGACCCAAGACACTCACTAGCTGTGTGACTCTGGGCAAGACACTTAACCCCAACTGCGAAGAAGGAGAAGGAGAAGGAGACGGAGACAGAGAAGAAGCTAATTGGACCAAAGAGTATGTGAAGGGGGAATAATGTATAATAAGGCTGGAAAGGTGGGTTGGGGGTCAGGTTGTCAGGCTTTGAATGCCAAAAGAGCTTACAGAGGTAACAAGCGAACTAGCAGAAAGTATTGAGCAGGGTAGTGACCTGGTCAGACCTATGCATTAGAAAAATCATTAGAAAAATTTGGCAGCTGAAGGCAAGATTGAAACAGGAAGAAATCTGAGGAAGAAACTAGGAAGAAGTAACTCTTGCTCCACTTCTCCTTCCACCAGCTTCCACCAGATGCCTGGACACTAGGGCTGACCTTAGGAGACAATACTACTCCATCTTAAATAAGCAGGCCCTGAGATTTCAGTATACACTGGTCTCTAATAATGCTTGGGGTCATGTCTCCTCTATTCTGAAAAAACCCTCACTTAATCCTCCCACACTCACTAACTATTGTCCTATATCTCTTCTGCCCTTTGTAGCTAAATTCCTTGAAAAGGCCAACTATAATAGGTGCCTCCACTTTCTCTCCTCTCACTTTTTTCTTAATTGCTTACAATCTGGCTTCCAATTTTATCATTCCACTGAACCTGCTCTCTCCAAAGTTATCAAAGATCTCTTAGCTGCCAGATCTAAAGGCCTTTCTTCAATCCATATTCTCCTTGACCTCTCCTTCTGGCTTTGACACTATTGATCATTCTCTCCTCTACTGAATGAGAAACTAGCTAAGGAAAGTAAATCATGAAAAAAAATCTACTTATGGTAAAGCCTCCTGAAAAACTGAATTTGAATTTCTGCTGAACTCCAGATATAACAAAACTCCTCAGTCCTATTTCCCTTATCAGGAGGCATGACATTTTGGGAAAATTAAGAAGATTTTTTTAAAAACTGTTGATCAGTTTCATTTTGGTCATTTGAACTCAATCAAGTTGCAGAAATGTTTCTTTAGGGGCAGCTAGGTGGCACAGGGGATAGAGCACAGGCCCTGAAATCAGGAAGACCTGAGTTCAAACCAGCCTCAGACCAAACACTTGACACTTACTAGCTGTGTGACCCTGGCAAGTCACTTAACCCCAACTGCCTAAATAAATAAATAAATAAATAAATAAATGAAATGTTTCTTTAGAGTGGAAAAGATAAGACATATAAAGAATTTTGATTCACTGCTCTGAGTTTCCTTCCATGCCCAAGAGGTTTATGGCTTTTCTCAAACAGCACATAGCTACACGGAAGTGAACAAAGCAAACTGAAGCAGCAGCAGGGCATAAAAACAGGAACACTTTTCCTACAGCATGAGAAACAATGGGTGTCATACAAAAGGCAAGGTGGAGGAGACATACGGGGGATGTAAGCACACTGCAACGTTTAACCAACAAGGACTCTGCAGAGAAGGAATGAAAGATGTCATAAGGGAATGTAATAAGAGAAAAAGGAGACAGGCTCAATTATGTGGTGAGAACAAGAGATGACAGGTGGAACTTCAGGAGAAATGCTGCTGCACTTGGGGGACAGGGGGTGTCTCCCTATGATGAGCTCATGACAAAAATATTTCAGAATGGGCAGTCATGGATAGGTCCCAATCTTTTTAATGTTGGGAACTCCCCAAATCAATGAGGTCATAGATCTATTTCAGGATATGAGGTATAAAAAAATTGGGGTACAGCTAGGTGGTACAGTGGATAGAGCATCAGCCCTGGAGTCAGGAGGACCTGAGTTCAAATCTGGCCTCAGACACTTGATACTTAATAGCTGTGTGACCCACAGCAAGTCACTTAACCCCATTGCCTAGCTGGGGCGGGGGTGGGGGGGGAGACCAGAAGTTGCAGAAGATTTTTCCACTGATAAAGGGACCTTCCTCAAAGAGACTTCCCTACACCAATGAAATCAGGTCCAGATTAAAAAAAAAAAATCTCCCCCAGGACCTAAGATAGTGTTCTGTACACAATGGGCACTTAATAAATGTTTGTTTCTGTTATTATTTTATGGTGGCAAAGAGAACTTTGAATCATGGAGTACTATAGGAAGGTAAAGAAGTGCTGAAATGGGAACCTTCACATGGTCAGAACAGCATGGGGTATTGAGCTTGGAGACAGCTGTAAGGTGAGGAGTAGAGCTTAGAAAAGAAGAATGAGAGGGGTTTTCTATTTTGAAATGTGAAAGCCAACCCTCTCCTTCCACCTCTCCTAAACATCTAATCCACTCCCTTCCCCAAACCCTATTCTTATGGATTAGGAGTAAAAGGAAAGGAAAAGTTTTGAGTGAGCAGATGGGAGATACTTCCAAGGGACAGCTCAGGGCTAACAGCATACAGGGACCAAAATGTGAACAGGAGTATTTTATGCCACACACAAACAAATAAAATCAACTTAGCTAGAACTATGTTCTACAACCAGGAAAACTGCTCTTTTATCAGAAATAGAACTTAAACACAAGAAGTCTTAATAAAGTACTCCTCTGTGGCCCCAGAGGACTTATCCTTAAGCTCTGTCTGATGATTTCCTCTGAACTAAAGGTGTCTATATAATTTGGAGTTTCATGCCTAGTGCCAGATCCCACCTGGTTCCTGGGACTGGCTGTCATCACAAATGTGTAGATCCAAGCGTGAAATAAGCAGATGATAAGATGATTCCTTCACATCAAACTTCTCAAAGTACTGGCTGATACGGCTGTTGCTAACATTGCTCTGAACACTACCAAATGTCTGGCTCCAAGAATGATGGGCACTAGGAGCAGCAGGTGAAGTACTCTGTAATGTAAAGAATATGGTAACAAAGAATATCTGTAACATAAAGAATTTTATGTAAAACACCAATACTCTTCCTATAGGCTTTCTTAAAGTAGACAAAGCATATAATAATGCTGGAGAAAGCCAACATACATCACGTACTACACTGTTCCAGGGCAAGATAACCCCCTCTCTTATACTCATAAATTTGGCTGCTCACCTTGGGCTGATTCCACCCTTTAAAACAAAAATTCCACAACAAGAGTAGAACTAGTCAGTTAAACTGCAAAGGAATCACTAACACATTTTTCCAGGCTCCCGTCCATTATAATTTAAATGTTACTATTAGTTAGATTCCAGAAAAGCCTAAGAGAAAAGACAGACGGCAGATCTACTAATAAATCACATTGAAGAACTGATCATCCTACCAACAGAATCTTCTCTTATTCCCTTCTGATATTCTCCCTACCCCCTGTACTCTTCTTTCCTCCATCATGGAAGTTCATTGTACCAACTCACTTGTATGGGCTCAGGTGCCAAGCTCTTTCTCTGTAGAGCTGACTTCTCCATGGCCTCACTCAAAGACTCTGCATACTTCATCATGGCCTTGAGCTGCGAATCAGTCAGTACCCACAGGAGGTCATCCAGCAGGAACATCAACTTGGAGGCTATCACATTGCAGTCTTTGGTCTGACAGGGGAAAGATAATGTGGAATTCATCATCTTGCATAATTTCAACCCCCCAAAATCAACTTCACCTGGTCAATCTAAGAAATGTCTCCTTAACCCCCAGGGTTTTGTTTTGGTTGTTAAGTGGCTTGGTTTCATCCTTAACATTTGGTTTCATTTACACATGCAAAATTAGTTAACTATTTTTTTTTGCTAACTTCATCTTAGTGACCTATTTTCTCCTATGATCACTGCCCCAACCATTGAAAAAAGTTAACAGTGATATACAAATAAATATTTTCCAAGTGTTTTAGTGATTGTTCTTCAGGATATTTACAGATGCCCTATTCAAGTTATATACAGGTATATAGCACAAATTTCATTGTTGGAATATGCCTTTGCATAAAAAGTACATGTTTGGCTGTTGGCAGTAGACAATAGTGTCTAAAAATTAGTTCTAAAAATTAGTGTTTAGACGATACTGTCTAAAAAATCCAAGGATTATAGATATTTGCTCACGAGATTCAAAAGTTTCCCAGGGAAGTTTTATGTTGACTTTAACTTTGGGGATAAAGTCAAGGGGATGGTTAAAATTTATTTAAAAATCATAACCAGAACTATGCATATAAATGATATGGAAGACTTCTGAAGATGGGAAACTCACTATCCACTTGTCTAGAGGCAAGGCCCAAGGCAAATTATTACCTCATCTGAGATAAAATTGAGTTTCTTTAAACATTAATAGAGTCACAAGAGGGATATATTTGGCTAGAGGGATTACTGCTGTTGGTGGGATCTTGGTGACACTGTGTGGAACGATAAAAGAGGGATTGTTTGAGGTGAGTTTCTCTCTTCCCGGCCTACTGAGTCCCTTGAAAAAAATATAACGAGAAGAACAAAAGGTCCAGAATACCAAGGGTATTAATGAAAAGAAATGCTAGGGAAGATCTAGCCATTCCAGATCTTAAATTGTATTATAAAGCAGCAATCATCAAAACTACTTGGTACTGGCTAAGAAACAGAGTGGTAGATCATTGGAATAGGTTAAGTATGCAAGACACAGTAGTCAATGACTATAGTAATCTGCTGTTTGATAAACCCAAAGACCCTAGCTTCTGGGATAAGAACTCACTATTTGACAAAAACTGCTAGGAAAACTGGAAAAGAGTATGGCAGAAACTAGGCATAGACCAAAATCTTACACCATATACCAAAATAAAGTCAAAATGGGTACACAATTTAGATATAAAGGTTGATACTATAAGCAAACTGGGAAAGCAAGGAATAGTTTACCTGTCAGATTTATGAAGAGCAGAAGAATTTATGACCAAACAAGAGATAGAAAACATTATGAAATGCAAAATGGATAATTTTGATTACATTAAATTCAAAAGTTTTTGCACAAACAAAACCAATGCATCCAAGATTAGGAGGGAAGCAGAAAACTGGGGAAAAAATTTTCATAACCAGTGTCTCTGATAAAGGCCTCATTTCCAAAATATATAAAGAACTAAGTCACATTTATAAGAATATGAGTCATTCCTCAATTGATAAATGGTCAAAGGATATGAACAGGCAGTTTTCAGATGAAGAAATTAAAACTATCTATAGTCATATGAAAAAATTATCTAAATCACTATTGATTAGAGAAATGCAAATCAAAACAACTCTGAGGTACCACATCACACCTATCAGATTGGCTATCATGACAAAACAGGAATGATAAACATTGTTGAAGATGTGGGAAAATTGGAACACGAATGCATTGCTGGTGGAGTTGTGAACTGATCCAACCATTCTGAAGAGCAATTTGGAACTATGCTCAAAGGGCTATAAAAATGTGCATATCTTTTGACCCAGCAATAGCACTTCTAGGGCTGTATCCCAAAGAGATCATAAAAATGGGAAAAGGACCCACATGTACAAAAATATTTATAGCAGCTCTTTCTGTGGTAGCAAAGAATTAGAAATTGAAGGGATACCCATCAATTGGGGAATGGCTGAACAAGTTGTGGGATACTAATGTAATGGAATACTATTGTGCAATAAGAAATGATGAGCAAGCATACTTCAGAAAAACCTGGGAAGACTTGTATAGACTGATGACTGAGTGAAGTGAGCAGAACCAGAACACTGTACACACTGTGCAATGACTAACTTTGAGAGACTTAGCTCTTCTCAGCAATGCAAGGATCTAAGACATCTCTAAATGTCTCACGATGGAAAATGCTATCCACATCCAGAGAAAAAACTAGGAGTTTGAATGCAGATCGAAGCATACTATTTGCTCTTTTTTTTTCTTCTGTTTTGTTTTGTTTCTTCTTTCTTATGGTTCCTCCTATTGGTTCTAATTCTTCTTTACAACATGACTAATGTGAAAATATGTTTAATAGGAATGTATATGTACAGCCTATATCAGACTGTATGCACTCTTGGAGAGGAGGTAAGGAGAGAGGGGGAGAAATTTTAAAACTCAAAAGCTTATGGAAATGATTCTTGAAAACTAAAAATTAATTAATTTTTAAGAAATTAATTTTTAAGAAAATAAAGAGAACAAGCAGGGCAGAGAAACATTTGTTAGCTGTTTGGAGACATCTGGCTTCTCTTTACTTTAGAATTTGAAGAGTTCAGAGGAAAGAGAGATTCCCATGGATTAAATTGCTCCAAAACACTTTAATTCTGAAGGCACAAAGAGAAACAATTTCAAGGAGGAAGGAAAACAGATTTGTCTGAGAAGAATCAAATGGATGCACAGAGAACTTACCAATCAACTCAAATAAAAGGTAAATGGATGGAACGATGGAAGCAAGGTCAGGTAATATAAGACATGAATATAAGAGTGTGGCATGGTCTCGTAACAACAGTGTCAGCAGTACTAAAGCTCAGAACGATGTTAGCAACAGAAGCTAAGGACAACGAAAACAGGTTTGATATTTTTTCAACCTATATTAAGGGTGAAAAAGAAGATCAAAGTTTAGGACCATTGCTTTGGGGTGGATAAGACAACAGAAAGAAGACATAGTTTCGCAACTTTCATTTTGTTTGTGTTTTCTCCGTCAAAGAGAATGACTGTTGTACTGGAAATAACAGAACAAAAACTGCTAACAGGACAGCGATACCACAAATAAGTAAAGCAATAGTAAGCCAGATGAATCCATCCCCATGTCCTGAAAGAACTGGCAGATGTGACTGCAGAGTTACTGTCAGTGATATCTGAAAGATCATGAAAAAGCAGTACCATGAGACTAGAGAACAAATGTATACCCAATTTTTGAAAAAAGAAAGCGAATAGAGTCTATAAACTATAGGTCAGTAAGCTGTATTTTAATTCCTGGGAAAATCCAAAAATGTAGATCACTAAGGAGATGGTTGGTGAACATCTAGATTCTAGAAAGGGAAGCAGTGATGACAGAGAGCCAACCTGGTTTCATCAAGAACAGGTTGTGTTAGAGTAACATCATGTCTTTTTTGACAGAATTATTAAACTACTCAATGAAAGGAATGATGTAGATATAGTTTATCTAGCTTTTAGCAGATCTTTTTGATAAAGTATTTCAAACTATATTTTGGCAGAAAACGCATATAGGTATAGAGTTGAACAATAACACCATCAGATGCATTCGAAGTGGCTAAATGGTCAGACTCAGAGGAGTAGTTAATGGTTAAATCTCAATGTGGCAAGAGCTGTCCAGTAAAATAAATACTCCAGGGAGCTGTGTTTGGCCCTTTGCTATTTAACATTTTAATCAACAACTTGGATAGATGACATATTCTCATAGATGATATGTTCTCATCAAATTTGTTGACGACACAAAGCTGGGAAGGACAGCTAACATAGTGGATAACACAGTCAGGATGCAAAAGGATCTTGACAGGCTAGAACTCTAGAAGGGCCAACTCTAGAAGATGAAATTCAGTAGAAATAAATATAAAGTCTTGCACGTCGGTATAAAAAAATCAACTTCACAAATAAAAAATGGGAGAAGCATAGCTAGATAGCAGCTGTTAAAAAAAATCAGGGGGTGTAGTGTTGTGTTATAGATTTAAATGTAATATGAGTCAGTGGTGTGCTACAGCAGCCAAAAAAGCTAATCTGATCTTGAATTGCATTAAGAGACGCATAGCTTCCAGGAATAGGAGGTAACAGATAGTCCCACGTGTTTCACACTGGTCAGAACCTCATCTAGGCTCCTGTGTTCAGTTCTGGACACCATACAGTTTAATAAAGACACTGGTAAACTGGAGTGTCCAAAGGATGGTGAAGGGACTTGGGACCATGTTAGACGAGGATCAACTGAAGGAAATGGGTGTTTAGCCTGAAGAAAAGAAGACTCAGGGATCCACAATAACTGCTTTCAAGCGTTTAAAGGGCTGTCATGGAAGAGGTATTAGGCTTGTTCTGATTAGCCTCAGAAGGCTAAAGCAGGAGCAATGTACGGAAGTTACAAAGAGGCCAATTCAGGCTTGACGTCAGGAAAAATTCCCTAACAATTAGAGCTAAAAGTAGAATATGCCTTCATGAAAGGTGGTGGGTTCCTTTTCCTTGGATCTCTTTGAGCTGAGGCTGGGCACATATTTGTCAGGTACATAGTGGGAACTGTCTTTGTGTATGGGACCAGATGTTTGCTGAGGCCCCTTCTAACTCTCAAATTCTGTGATTACACAATTCTGGAATTCTCTAATGTCTTCTGTGCTAAGATGGAACGAAGCTGAATTTCTCAGTGATTAAGTCCTACAGCAGTGCTTCTGAACCTTTTTCTGGGTCACGGACCTCTTTAACAATCCGGTGAAATCTATCACAATGATGTTTTTAAATTCAGAAAATAAAATGCAGAGGATTACAAAGGAAATCAGTTATATTGAAACAGTTACTGAAGCATTAAAAAACAAGTTCACAGAACACAGGTCAAGAAGCCCTGCTGTACAGCACTTCCAGAACATAGTGTATACCCCTTTCCCTCTGACTCCGTAACACTGCACAACAGGCCCTTCTGTCCACTGTGTCATCCGAGATGTCAAACCCAACTTTCTCCTCTACCAAGAGAAAGTACCCGCTTTCAGGGCTGTCCAGGAGAATGGGAAAAAGAAACTATTATGTGGAGAAAGACACTCACTCTCCTCTTGAGGGCTATTTGGATCCTGCCCTGGTTGGTAATGAGCCTCAGTGGAGTAGTGACTGGGTCTTGATCACCATTGTCTGTGGCGTCTGCCTCAATCCGAAGAGTCTGCCACGTTATCTCCTTAAATGTCAGAACCTGGCAGGAGAGAAAACATTTCCTCAGAGTGCTGATGATGACTGAGCTGACCAAAAGGGGGCAGTAAGACCGAGGCCATCAAGCATACAAGGAATGAGTTCCCACCCCCTTCAGCTGAGCAGAGCTCCAGAAGGCAACTGGATTGGAGCACCCAAATTCCAGGAAAAGGTACAGCACTGTTTACTGGTGTGAAGGCTGAGGTTGATATTTACATTCTAAACATTTTTTAAAAATAATTTAGAATGTGTACTTTCATGTAAGACTTCTTCACAAAAGTCCTATTTTGATGCCTCATGAATGATGAGGTGGAAATGACCTTAGGTTCTGGAGGACCTTGTCAATGGACTACTCGAACTGGCAAAGGCAACTACCCTGCTAGAGGACCTTTTGAGTACAGTCATTATCCACAGATCTACTAGCCAAGTATGGAGGGCTTTTCACCAATAAATATGTCCATAAATGCTGAACTCTTTAGCCACTGTAGTCCATGAAAGAAAGAAAAACATGTTTCAGTGGTAGTTACTATGTTAAAAAAAGTTTTTTTAATTTTTTAAGGAAGAAAGTTTCAGAAGTTTATAAATCTGAAGTGCACTTAAGGGAATTTTAAAATTTAAAAGGATTATTATCCTTAAAAATAAACAAGAATGGGGCAGCTAGGCGGTGCAGTGGATAGAGCACCGGCCCTGGAGTCAGGAGGACATGAGTTCAAATCTGGCCTCAGACCAAACACTTGACACTTACTAGCTATGTGACCCTGGGCAAGTCACTTAACCCCAATTGCCTCACAAAAACAAAACAAAACAAAAAATAAACGAGGATTACTCTTATTTGAATTCTCTCCCCATTCCCCTTTCAGGCTGTCACCTCTCCTCGGTGGGGGTCGGTGATGCGGGTGAGGCGGAGGTCACTCTGCTGCCAATTAGGGTTAACACTGTAGCCCTGGAGTTGCCACAACTCGAAAGAAGCATGAAAGGCCTTGGAGTGAATCTTGATGGTGATAGAATTAATGATAATGAACATTCCTTCTACCACCTTCTCAGCAAAGCCGTACTCACTGTAAACAATGAGACAGAACAGGCAAAGGATTAAGAAAACCTGAAGGCATTGCCTCCAACCTGAAAGATGAATGAATTAAAAGAGGCTAATTCCAGTCTTTAAGCAGCGTTCCTTCAATAATAAACTAGATATTGTTGGACAATAAGCATCACAGGACTGAGGGAGAAACCAATAAAAAGAAGGAAGCATTAGGTTTCTATAGGATATTAAAAAAAAGAATCCATTCTCTTTAAGCACGCAGACACCAGAACATTTCTATACTTCCATAGTGAAAGGCTAAAAGCTAAAAGGAAGTAGAAGGAATAATGCTGTAAGGGCCTTAGTGTGTAGCTCTGCCTTACGTATACTTGGTCTCAAACCGGTTCCAAATAAATTACCTTTATTGCTTCTGATCTCCCTATTTCTTCACCCATCTCCTACACTAGGAGATGGAAGTGAGAAGAGCTTGAACAACAGACATCAGAGTGGTTTGATACTTTGAAATGTGAAGAATAACCCTCCCCACTTCTCTTCCAAATATTAAGACTTTTTTTATTCTTTCACTACCATACATCCCATATTTAATCCCGCTGATCTTAACTTCTCAAACTCTTATATATGTGCTTTTTTTCTTAATTTCCATTGCCATCACTGTGCCCTAGGCCCTCATTACCACTCATCTAGACTTCTAAAGTAAGTACTAAAAGGGGTTCCCACCAGATTTATCTCCTTTACACAAAAATCTGATAATATGACTCCTTTGCTCAAAACTCTTCAATGATTTCCTATCAGCTACCAAATAAAGTTCACAATCTTTGGCCTGGACAATAAGGTCCTCCACAATCTGAAGTGATCCTGCCTTTCTCATAAAAAAAAAAAGTTCTACTGATGCCTTCTGTTTTTACAGTATCATCATTTCTACGTATTCCTATTTTTCATTGTGCATGTGTATGCACACATGCTCAAACACACACACACACACACACACACACACACACACACACACATTTAGTTCTCTCTTATAAAAACAAAAAATAGTTAAGCCAACCAACCAAACTGCAACCACATTTGACAAACACCTACTTCCTACTGAGAGAAGTCAATGTTTTTGCCTTTAATTTCTTTCCCTTGTTTTATGGAATTTACAAGTAATAGTCAGAAATGGGAGCATCCTTACTTTATTTATTAGGAAAGTTTCCAGTATTTCTCCATTGCAATCTTACCTTTCCAGAATTATCTAACATGACTCTTATCTCCATGTGTACTGTGCTCTAACCAAACTGGAATACTTTTGATTCTGTACTTTCCTGCCTCCATTTCTTTGTTCATGAAAGGAATGTTCTCCTCTAACATCTTCAACTATTGAAAACCTATGCATCCTTTAAGGGTCAGCTCATATGCAATCTCTTTCATGTCAAAAAAAAAAAATCTTTCCCACTTCTTGCCTGGATAATACAAAGCACTTGATTTAGACTTCTCTGATTCACTCACAAAGTATTATTGTCAATATCAAGTATTATTAATTATTAGCAAGTACTGGTTTGTAATATTTTTCACTATAATTACTTATATGTCATATCATCAAAATATTTTGTCAACTCCATGAGGGTAGGGGCCATAGCTCTGTACCTCTCCCAGGAGGACCAAGCATAATGCTCTGAACATAATAGGTACTTAATGTTTATTAAAGTTGACACTGGGTACTCCTGGCTTATCTATCATACTACTTCTAATCACAGAAACGAACATCTTAAAGATATAAATGGGATCAGAGCAACTGACCTCTGTCCTGAAGCCAGGGCAATGGGAGACTGTCCATTGGGGGGCCGAGGCTCTTCACATGTTCTCATCTCTACTTCTACTTTATCCAGACACTGCAAGGAAAGTCATTGAAAAGTGAATGCTCAGCAAAGCACATGCAAGCATGGAAAGATCTTGGGATCACCAGATTTGGCACTGGAAGGGATGTTAGAGATTATCTAATACAACTACCACATCTTACAAATCAAGAAACTCAGGAGAGTAAACAACTTGCCCAAGGCCACAAGGTAGTAAGTAACACGGCTAGGATTTGAACCCAGTCATTTGACTCCAAATCCAGTGTTCTTTCTATGATATCATACTGTTTCTTAATTATTCCCAGCATTACTCAATTCTATCTTCCTTTCTCTCACTCAGATGCATTAAGCTCATTTTTATAAATAAGCAAACTGTAGCTAAGAGATGTTAAATGTCTTGCCCAAAGTCATACACAAGTGGCTGAGACAGGATCTTCTAAACTCACCCCAGTGCTTCTTCCACTTTATAATGAACTGAGATCCCTGCCTGAAAGATTCTTGGAAAGAACAATGTATTCTAAGGGTAAAGCAAAACTAGAGAACTCAGAAGTCTTGATTTCTGTTCTTTAGCTATAGCTACTGCACCACAAAGATCTCTAGGACTAATTAAGCAACAGTCAAAGTGTCTTCAGAAAAACCCAAAAGACAAGAAGCAGCAGCAGCCTACCATTTCCCAAAGGAAGAAACAAAGACTAAGATACAAGCCTGAAGTTTCCTCAGAAGTGTAAATGACATTTATTTGTGCCTCTGTGGGCCAAAATGCTACCATTTAATAGCTATCATCTCACCATGAGACCTACAAAGAATAAAAAAAAAATTATGGTAACTAAGGGCAACTAAGAATGGGATTGGCCTCTTTGTCAAAGAAAGAAAAAGGCTTAGTCCTAAGAATAAAAAAGGTATGGAAGTTGAAGGGTAGCTCCAGCCTAATTTTCAGAACTATTTAATGTTATTCCCCTTCAAATACTCTGTTTCAGCCAAAGCAACTTATTTATTGTTCCCCGAAGTCAGTATTTCATCTCCCACCTCCAAGCTTTTGCACCTGTAATGTGCCCCCTCCTCACCTCTAAGTCTTAACCCTAAGTTTCCTTCAAGGTTCAATTAAGTTACCACTTCTTATAGGGGAACATTTACTGATCCCCCTTGTGTTCTCTTTCTGCTCAAATTATTTTGTATTTATAAATCTGCTTAAACATTGAATCCTCCAAGGAGACTATAAGTGCCTTGAGGAAAGGTACTGTTTTTCACTTTTGTCTTTACATCCCTAGCATCTTTCACGGTGCCCTGCAGTAGTAGGCATTTAATAAATGCTTTTGGAAATGAACTGATTCCAAAGATAATACCCAAGAGAAAGTTCTGAGAAGGGGCTTCAAAACTAACAAACAGCTAACTGATCTGGTCAGTTCCTTTTAGATTTTAGGAGGTATTTAAGATTCACTATAACTTTCCATCTATGCTTGTTATTTTTAAGTCTTGTTCGTTTCTGTGTAGTAACTGGTAGAAAAAAATCAAGTTTAAAAAATAAAGACTTGGGGCAGCTAGGTGGTGCAGTGGATAGAGCACCGGTCTTGGATTCAGGACGACCTGAGCTCAAATCTGGCCTCAGACACTTGACATTTACTAGCTATGTGACCCTGGGCAAGTGACTTCATCCCATTGCCTCACAAAAAACAAACAAACAAAAAAACTTAAAGGAACTGTCATGTATTTGTTTCAGAGATAGCAGTGTGGGAGAGAAAGTCATGTCAAATCTATTTCCCATTCTGCACAGACACTTGAGTGATAAGAAGTCCAAATGAAAGATCAGACCTAACGGCAGCACTGAAAGTCAAATCAAATCCCTCAAGCCCTGGGAGCAACTGTTATTGTTGTGTTGTTCCAGTTGTATCCAACTCCTAATGACCCCTTTTGGGATTTTCTTGACAGAGATATTGGAGTGATTTACCATTTTCTTCTCCAGCCCATTTTACAGTTGAGGAACTGAGGCAAACAAGGTTAAGTGACTTGCTCTGGGTCACACAGCTAGTAAGTGTCTGAGACTGGATTTGAACTCATGAAGATGAGTCTTCCTGATTCCAAGCTTAGTGTTCTATCCATTGTGCCACCTAGAATTTAATGAGAAGCCAACTAAGTCTGGGGGGAATTTAAACCAGAAAGAGGCCTGTTCATCCAGAGAAAGATCTAAGCCTCTAGCCTATCCTAGGTATTTAACTGGTCAGCATTAAAAGAACTAGGGCATCATGAAATTATCAAATGTACCTTGCCTGTCCATCTTTAACCAGCTCTTTCAGAAGTTAAATGACAAGCCTTATTTGATTAGATAAAATAAAAGAACTCCACTTCCAAAGGAAAGGCTGTGGACTTGCAACATGGTGTAATGGAAAGTGCACTGGACTTGGAGTTGGAAGACAAGAGCTCAAATTCTAGATCTGATATGATCCAGGTATATGACCACTGGCATGGCTTTTCACCTATCCATTTCCTCATATTTCCTCATCTATAAAACTGGTATAAAACCTACATTGTCCCTAGTCACAGAGTTACTGTGAGGAAGAATGCTTTAAAAGCCTTACACATTATATCAATTATTATTACTATTATTGCCATCATTATTATTACCAAACAGATTGGGTGTGTCTTCAGCTTTGTCCATTGGATCTGAAAAAAATGGAAAAAAAGAGGAAGGAATTAATAATGTTTCCCTTCCAAGCAGAACTACCCAACTAATTAAGTAACCAGCTATCTAATGCCCATGCTCACCCTGATGGAGGCCTTATTGCAGAAGACCCGAGTGATAGCTAACCATGTGGGAAGTTCTAGTACATTTTGCAGAACCTCTTCATCCAGCTCCAGGTTGGTCAGTTGGCCCTCCCCTTTCAGAGTACTCAGGTTGATTTTGTCAGGAGACAAATTCTTAGTAAACCTGATGAAAGTGAAAATGAGGATCAATTACTTCCTCTGGTTATCAGCTAAATGGACTCCAGGGCAAAATCCTACCTGATTAAGATACTTAACAATAAACCTATACATAATTTTCTCCGAGTGTTTATCACCCGTTTCCTGCACTCAAGGCCCATGGAAATTCCAACAGTTCAGAAAAACCTAAGTCTTCACAAGTTTAGTTCTTAAAAACTCTGAATAAAAGATGTTTGGAGGACTGTCAGTATGAGCAATTTTCATTGCTGTTCCCTCCAAAAGTTTCATTCATTTTCTGGTCACACTATCACAAAATCAAACATTTACATCAACAGTATAATAAAGTTAAAATATTTTGCTAAAAATCATAAAAAAGAAGTGAGCAGGTAATGCCAGTAAAGTAGCAGGGTATATCAGTTACTAAGAAGAGATGAGGACAAAAATAGCGATGCAGTAATATTAGCTGTGGAGAATAAGGAAAGAAGAAACAGGGCATCAATTTCCTTTCACTTACTGCCCTACAAGTCAGATAAGAGTCTGGTTCAAGTTAACTGTGAAGTGGTGATAATTAATAAGCATTACTCAAGTTTTAGCAGAACTGAACAGCTTACTGTTCTATTCATGCTATACCAGTAAATAATATTATACAGCAGTTGTTATCATAATATTAATAATAGAGAAAATGAAAGGTATAGAGGCAGGGTAAGTTAGAGTGGGAGGAGAGGAAAGCTAAAAGTCAGCCAATTTAAACCAGGGCCTAGCTCCTGATGCATCAAGAAAATATAGCCATCTGGTTTCATTTCTCTTTACATGGCATTCCTCCTTCCTGACCAGAATCCCCCAGCTTATCATGACAGCTCTCTAAGAGTCATATTTTCAGTTGCTATAGATAATGTTTCCCTTCCAAGCAGAACTACCCAACTAATTAAGTAGCCAGCTCAATTTGGTGAGGGCAATTGGGGTTAAGTGACTTGCTATAGATGCCCCACCATCTCACCACTTCCTAATCACTCAATAAAAGCCCACATATAGGAAAGGAGATAAATTATCAACTATTAAAAAAATTATGAGGTACAAGTTTAATGAATTCAATTATATAAAAGTGATTAAGTTTCCATGATGACAAGCAGAAATACTGAGTCTAAAAGGAAAATAAATGAAACTGCTATATTCATGACAATTGATGGATAATATAATAGCTTGTTTGACTCAACAGACCTTAGAGAGTATTAATTTTAAAACCAAGCCTCCATTGGTCAAGTGGTAAATACATGTGAACAGACAACACATTTACGAGGAGAATGAATGTTAGCTACTTCAAATCCTACAAAATGAGAATTAGATTTTAGCATTTTTTAAAAAAATTGAACTGTAACAATGTGGTATATGAAAAGAGTACAGGAACGAGACCTCAGTTCTAATCTAGTTTGACCAAACTGAAGTCCCAAGATCACTGACTGTGACCTTGAAGCAAGCTACTTTCCCTCTCTGGGCTTCAATTTTCTCACCCTATATAACAAGGGGGTTACACAAAATAAGCATTACTCTAGAGGACTTTCCAGATCAAATATTCTGCAACTGAAGCTGTAGGTGCGTGCATGTGTGTGTGTGTGTGTGTGTGTGTGTGTGTGTGTGTGTGTTTTGGAGGAGAGAGAATGGACAGAGGCAGATTGTCTACCAAGTTTATTACAATAGAATGTCACTCACATACAAAATTGGAAATAAATTCTATAGGCTCTCATCACTTACATTCTTTTCAAATTGCCTTGCTATCCTCATCTGCATTAACATCTGTTGTAAATCCCCTTTCTCCTGGAGCAACCTATGCTACTACAATACCCTCTCAGTAAAAGTCCTCAGATTTTACTACAAAAATAGAAGCCATCAGTGGTAAGCTCACTCTAATTTCAATTCTGTACTTCAAGTCAATCCACCAACCAACCAACAAGCATTTATTAAGTGCTTACTATTTGGCAGGCACTGTACTAAATGCTAGAGATTTAAAAAAAAAAAAGAAAAGAAAACTATTTCACTACATCCATGTACCACAATGGTTCAGTCATCTGTTGCTTATGATGTGCTAACCCATCTTTACTGGATTCACTGATTGATAGTTAGCCTACTCCTATCCCTACTCACCCTATCCCAGAAATCCTGAACCACCAGCTGCCAAACCCCATTCCCCCAAACTCAACTCAGAGCTCCTTCCGGCCCGTCCACCTAAACTCTGCTCCTAAGATCTCACTCCAAACCTGCACGCTCCTTCCACTGTGCCCTCTAGAATGTCTGCTCCAAAACAAAGACTTTTTTCTTTCTCACTTCTTCTATCTCCTGGCCCTCAATGAGACGTGGCTTTTGCTCAATGACATCACTTCTCTTACCACCCTTTCCAGTACCAATTAAATTTATTCTCACAAAACCCCAATTAACTTGTCACAGTAGGGCAGTCAGAATACTCCTTGCTTCCTATGGCCAATTCCAGGTGCTCCAAGACCGCCTTCACTAAGCAACCTCTTCACCCAATGAAGATCTTAGTCTACAGCCTCCCAGGACATTGTTATTCTTGGTTCAACGATTTCAGTGGCTTGATCAAAGTCTTTCTGTCTCTTCACTCTCCTGCCTTCATTCCAGTGGGCTGCAATATACATACTGATACTTTCTCAAATACCCTAACATCTCAGTTCCTCAATCCACTGACCCCATCTGACCTTTTCAACCTTCTAACATCTAATTTGCCATTCCCCACTCCCCTTCAAAGACTCTACTTTCTACCCACACTGGATTAATCATAGCTCCTTAAACATGTCACTCATTCTCCAGTCTCCATGACTTCTCAGTATCTATACCCTATGCCTGGAATGTTCTGACCTTTTATTTCTACCTCTTAGCTAATGTCCTCACATTGGTTGCTGCAAAAAATGTCTGTGTCACGGTAGGGAGGTGGCGCAGTAGACAGAGCACCAGTTCTAAAGTCAGGGGGACCTGAGTTCAAATCCGGCCTCAGACACATAACACTCACTAGTTGTGTGACTCTGGGCAAGTCACTTAACCCCAACTGCCCTCACCAAAAAAAAAAAAAAAAGTCTGTATGAGAACAGAGGAACAGAGCGAAAGAGGCAGAACATGTGCCTGGGCTAGAAATAAGAGCTCAACTATACACCTCAACCCCACCCTCTTCCAGGGCCCTAAATCCAAATTCTAATTGACACAAATCAACCCAACCTGCAATAGCATGACAGTGACAGTGCTCTGAATTGTTAGTGCTGGGAAATGATGAACAGAGCTAATACGACAGGACACTGTGTGTGGCTATGAGGCACTCCACTAAGCCTAGTTAAAGAGCACAGCATCCAGCTGGGATCAGTTATGTAACCGTAAAAGTTACTTGGAGAAGAGTCCTAGGCTAAACTATAATTTGCCTAGAGTGGAAGGAGAATGAAATGTTCTGAGATGCAACCCCTAAGGAAACCACCATTAGAGAGGAGGGAGCCAGAAAGTGAGCAATAGAGGAAAATAGGGGAAAAAACAGAAATTACAAAACATTTCAGGAGGAAGAAAACACAAAGACCTAGAACATAAACAGATAAATAAACAAGGAAAACATTAACAACACAAGAAAATACAGTCTCCAGATGTAGTAAATCAGTTCAGACCTCTGTGAATAAATACCGTAAAGACAAAGGAAAATGACTCAACATTTGATGAGACAGAGGATCTCGTGGAATTTGGGAACATACAAACATGACATGTTGTTCCTGAGTGGTTTAAAAGAGAAATGAGAATTACAAAAGCAGAATTTATGGCCTGCACAACAGAAATAACTGACAGAACAGAAAAACTTGAATCTGCAATGACAAATCTTATCAAAGAAACAAAAGAGAAAACAAACTGATTGGGAATTCAAATACACAGAAGTGGAGGACAAAACAATGCAGAAGAAGAGAAGCAAAAAGTATGTGTGTGTATATATGTATACATACATATATATTTATATATAGCTTAAGAAATATTGAGTGCTCGTGGTTGGCTCTGCCAGTATGATAATTTATATGCCAATGTGAAAGTTTATAGAACTGAATAACAAAATTCATTTCAAGAAACAAAGAAAGGCTTGGGCTGAGCTATGATGGGATGATTCTAAAAAAATAAAACTGTAGGGAGAGATAAAAAGGGTAATTATCTCACACAAATGAGGCATAAAAGGAAAAATTGAAACAGAAGAAGCTAGTGGGGGGGCAGTACTGGAACCTTACTCTCTCATCAGGATGGGTTAAAGAGGAGACAACATATATATCTAGAAGGGTATAAAAGTCTTCTAAATTCAGAAAGAAACAAGAGGGCAAGGGGATAGGGTGAGGGGAGTGAATAAGAGGGACTGTTAGAGAGGTCCACTGGTTAAAGAATAGGAGGGCAAGATAGCAGGTAGAAATAATGCAGAGAAGCGAGGAGGGATAGGAATGGAGTGAGAAGGATAGTGAGGAAAAATAGGAAGGATGAAAATACACAACAAGTTAACTATAGCTTAGAATGTGAATGGGATGAATTTACCCTTATACAGAAACTGATAGCAGATTAAAATTTTGAATTCAACAGTATGTTGCTTTCAGGAAATGCCATAAAAATAAGAGATACACACAAAGATAAAATAAAGGGAAGGAGTCAAATATATCATGTAAAAAAAGCAGGAATAGCAATCATGATCTAAGACAAAGTTAAAGCTAAAAGAGACTTAATCAAAAGAGAAAAATAGGAAATGACACTGTGTCAGCAATATTATTCAATATTGTTTTACACCATTTAAAATAACTAGACAGTATAAAATACCTGAGAGTATATCTGCCAAAACAGACACAGGAACTATATGAACATAAATATAAAACATTTTTTATACAAATAAAGTCAGATCTAAACAAGTGAAGTAATATTTATTGTTCATTGGTAGGTAAGGCCAATATAATTTTTAAATTAGTTTATTTATTTTTAATTTTCAACATTCACTTCCATAAG